TGAATGGAGCACAGTATTGTTTACGGATGAGTGCAAAGTAAAATTTTTTTGTGATGACCGTCGCATTAGGGTCTGGAGGCGTGAAGGTGAGCGATTTTCGGATGCTTGTATCCATGAAAGGACAGATTTGGGGGCCCTAACGTTATGGTGTGGGGAGGAATCTCTACATCAGGTAGAACTGAGTTGATAATTCTCAATGAAGGCACAATTACAGCTCAACGTTACATCGAGGAGGTCATAAGACCTCATGTGGTCCCATATGCACAAAGAATCGGCGCAAGATTCCGTCTGATGTACGATAATGCTCGCGCTCATACAGCTAGGGCCACCAGAGAAGCTATAGAGGAGGCTGGTATACAGGTGCTGCCCTGGCCTGCAAACAGTCCGAATCTCAATCCCATTGAACACATGTGGGATTTACTCAAACGCAACGTTCAAAGCACAAACCAACCCGTGCACAATGAAAGACAGGTAATAAACATTTTAAAATCAAGCTGGGAACAAATTCCTCAAGAAACAGTGGTACACTTGGTGGAGAGTGTACCATCCAGGCTTCAAGAGTGCATTAGAAAACGAGGAGGGCATACTAAATATTGAGGAGTTACAATTCAACCAATATCTGATTTGTTTATTTTTTTACTTGATTCTGATTTCATACGTTTTGCTTGCAAAAATGTTAGGTTTTCAGAAAAAAATGGTAATTTTTTTTTTTGGAATGTGTCTTTCATCATTTTGTGCTGTTAATAATAAAAAACAGTTAATTTATCAAATCTAATCATTAATCAACACTTAAACCTCAAGATTTCATGAGGAAACTATAAAAACGTGGTGGCCCTTATTTTGTTTTGACTAGTATATAAGCTCACACATAGGACCCACTTAGTTTTTAGTCTAATTTCCGTGGTGCTCGGCGACTGGGCTTCACCCAGTTGTACAGTCTCTTCTTTGTGCCTTTAGGCTTCATTCTGTCTCCTGCAGAAATTCACCGAGGGAAGTGGAAACTATCGTTTTTTCTTCTTCTCTTATAATACCTTATGATTCACTTCTTTACGGGAACCAAGACAGTTAGTCATGTCCCTGGTACGCGCCGGACTTCAGTGTTCCGGTGTTTGGTCGTATCTACTGTAGATCCTGGCTTACAGGAGTTACAGCGGTTTTGGGAGGTTGTGGCGGGCTTGTCCCATAAAAAAAGACTCATTTGCAGGTTTCTCTAAAGCACTAAACATTAAACTGTATGTAATAAGGATTTCTAAATAGGCAAATTATCCTTCAAACCTTAGGGAACAGAGGGTAAAGTAAGATCGGGAAAGGAGGATCCTCCGACCAGGTAAGGTGTACGTTGGGATTTTTTATTTGTGTAAATTCGTATGTGTCATCCGTTGCTTTGTTTTCATCGGTGGTCTTGGTCTATATGTGCGTGACCTGTCATTTGACGTGTGGGTCGCCATAAAACTATGAAAGTACGTATTTATATTTATAGATACAGACAGGTGAGAAAGGGGTTGTGTATTATCTATTTACATATTTTGATTGACCCTTTTTACATATTCAGGCAATATCTATGTATAATAATTTTGTTAAGAGTTAAAAAATATAAGTAAGTACCTACCTAATATTTAAACACAAATTTGACAAATTTTTTTAAAAAAAATTTACATATACATGTAGAGTATTAGCCAAACATAAATGAACGGTGATGTGGTAGAAATTGATGTAAACTCCATACAAAATGAGTTAAAAATTCTCTATGTAGTAGCTCAATTTTGTATTATTTAAAAGAAACCGACTTCAAAAACTAAGAGCATTAGTAAAAATTAAACAGCAAAAAATAACTATTATTGGTCATACGTACGTATAGGATACACACCCACTGATAGGTTAGAAGTCGGTGCCTACCTAATAGAAATGAAAACAAACATTATTAAAAATTGTAAAGTCTATGAAAATTATAATAAATACCTACACATGATCATGTCTGTGTATATGTATTATGTATGATAGTGATAGCTAAGTAATTATCGTAACTTCCTCATTATAGATCACCTGTGACCTTATTAAGTTAGATAAGTTTAATGACTCCACTGTTGGCGCAGTGACTACACAACCGGCTGCCGCGCAACGTGTAGCGGGTTCGATTCCCACACGGAGCCACCTTTAGTGTGATGCATAAATATTGTTGTTTCGTGTCTGGGTGATATTGTATGTTTAAAAAATCCTAGTGTGGCTAAGATTTTTATAAAAAAAAACAAAGTAACACCTCATAAAAGCGGGTATTAATAAAAAAACAAGCGAACAAAGTTGATTCCACGTGATGTTATTATATCCGTATCCAACATTTAAAAATGTACCTAAGTATACATATACCATGAGGTCAGAAAAACTAAAATATGGCTGTTAAGGTGGGTCGGAGTACTCGGAGTACACGCACTGGTGCCTCTCACTGGAGTTCAGCGAGAGGTGCCTTGACACGATAGTGGTGGTAAGTGGCAGCCGCTCCACGCGGACACAAGCTCAGTATTGTGTCAACAACTCGCGAGTGTTGCAGCGCAAACCGCTGCCATTTGTAAAAGGCTCCTCAGTGCGTCAAACGTCAACAATCAACCTTACAAGTAAGTCTCAATTTAAAACCTCTTGGAAACAATGTTTATACTTGAATTTCCTGCTTTGCGCCCTCGCTGCTCTGCACATACCTACCTGTTTCTTGCGAACAGTTTTGTTTTATTTCAAAGCCTTCAAACATAAATAGTTTTAGAAGTAATCAATAGGTACTTAGCTAATAATTATGCAGATATCAATTATTTAGTTCAGATCATTTTATTATTCAATTTGAATTGCCATACCATTGATGATTTTTTATATATCAAAGGCTGGCACAGATTATGTTTATGTTAAAAAGTACCTTTACCTTCTCAACCTCTTCAGTTTCGTTGAATTTCCATTTTATCAATCTCGTTTATGCGTTTATTACTGAGCAGGTATTTGAGTCGTGCTAGTCGTTTTGTTTTTGTTTCAAACAGCAAACGGTTTGCGAACATCTGAACATGCATTGTTTGTAAACACACTGAGATAGAGAATTAGTAAGCAGGTACATCTATGTATGTAAAATTTAATTATTGAACCAAATTTTGGGTTGTAAATACTCTTTATTAAATAAAAATAAATAATATTTTTTTATTTGGTGTATAAACCCAGATTACTAAATAAATCTTATTACCTAATAAAAGTATACATTTATATTAAACCAGAACTAGGTACAAGCCTGTGTTTCAGGTTAAAAATATGCTGACATTATTTAAAGTACAATCACATTGCTTATAAAACTTTTAATCAGCTGTAGAGGTAAATAAAAGAACAAATCTACAGAAAGCATAAAGCGAATTTTGTATTGCCTATCTATTTATTACGTTACCTACTCGAGTCAATCAAAAAATAGTTAGTAGGTACTTATTATATGTGGAATTAGAAATATAAATAATTTCTAACAATCATTAAGTGCTGTTCCATTCAAATTTATCGCTTATTTCTTTGAGTATCTTAGGTCATGTTATCAAAGGTTTCGATGTTTTAGCAATTTTCCTTGTTATCAATAGAATTTTCATTCATGCGTGTCGTAATAAGGTACATTTGATGATCGTTTGTTATAACATTAAGACTGTACATAATGGACAAGGTCATGGGCAAAGAAACACTGATTTGAATATCGTAGAATGTCACATCTGTTTTCCCCATGGTCCTAGTAACTAAAACGAAGAAACAATCTACGTCCTTGCATTGTTTTACAGATAAAATTAAATAATATACATAAAATTAAATAATATAAAAGTCGTCGACCTATTAAGTATATCTATAAAAAAATCTATAAGAGAAGAGAATATTTTGGTACAATTGGTATAAGAACCAGTGTGCCCATTTTACTTTTTATATTTTTGCCTGCTTATCTAGCGGAGTACGAAGTCTCGATTCCTTTTTTGAAGTTTAGATTTTTTTATGATAGTAGTAAGTTAGTATCTTTGGCTACCTTTTGAGGGCTATCGCGTGTCAACATTTCTCCAGTCCTAAAAAAAATAAAAATAAAAAGAAGATGTCAAAAAGAACAATCGCGGATTAATGACCTGAAACGTAGGGTAGTTAAGGGTTGTGGTTCTTTCGTCGAAAAGTTGCAAGTGCCATTGTCCAGCACGGAGCCTTTGCTATGATTCCGATTCTTGTAAAGTGTTAGTACTTTCCTAATAGCACAGAGTATAGCATTGCCCTAGGTGTAAAACAATAAACCTCTTTCCTCATAGAACTTGTAACACACCATACCCTCGACTACGTAACCCAAACTACTGAAGCAACCTACACTATTTGAATACTAGCTTCTGCCGGTGGCTTCCTCTTCTGACCGTGGTATAAAAAGCCTATGTGTTATTCCAGTTAATTCCAGACCATAACTTACCTACTCCTGTTTCAAAAAAAGTGATCCCAATAGTCGTTTTGACGTGAAGGATCATGAAACAAATAAGCATACAAACGTTTGCAATGATAATATTATTAGGATTATTGAATCTAGAAATTTTTATTGTTTGTTTTATCTATCATCGTAGACATAAACATGTTTGGATTTGAAACTAAAGACGACTCCTACGTTGCAACAGGACAACAAAGATCAATCTTGAGGGCAAATTGAGAACATTTATTCTTAAATTCTAAATAAGATTACGAAAAACTTTGTTATTGTCTGGACAATTGAGTCACCTTTAAGATTTTCGAAAATAGCCTGTATCTTACACGTTTGTGCTCTTCGAGGTTAAAGATAATATTATGGCTATCAGACAAGGTGGGCTTAAACCCGCATTTACCTCTTGTCTGTCGATATATGAGACACAACAGAAAACACATTCTGTCTCGCATATATCTGCGTTCCGAAACTTCACAGGTTAATAAATAAAAGTTAGTATTTTCAATAGTTTATTAATGAAATGAATGATAAGTTTATTTGCCATAGGTAAAGATAAATTTCATGCATTTTCGTTTATAGTATCTGGTCCGGTTAGGGATGCTCTAATGATTTTCCTTCGTCCAGTAACAGAACGTATCGTTTTCTGAAGCCTCGCAGTCATCGATTTCATTGTAGTCGATCGACTAGAAAATAGCCTTGGTTCCTGTAATAAATAAATTCACTTTATTCTCCAGAGAAATTGTAATACTATCTAATGAGTCCAAACACAATATGATTGCAAGTTGGTAGCCCAAGATTTCAATTGTCACCTGTCACCCAATCCCTTTATCAAACCACAATATAGTTTGGTCCTCTAATCAACATGTGACTAACCAAGTTTCGTGATAATATAACAATCAAAAGTGTGTGTAATTCAAATTATTAAATTTTAGTTCTTAATTCGTTACAGAACGAACTAACAAAAGAGCGTGTAAAAAGGACGAATATGTTATATTATATACACTTTCTGCTGCGCGCCTATTAACTGTAGCATGAAGTTTTATAACCAGCCTTCTTAGCAGACTATCCAATATATAAAGAACTAGCTTATACCCGCGGCTTCGCTCGCGTCACAAAAGGATAAAAAGTAGCCTATGTAATATATACCAATACACACAGCGCCATCTATACCAATACTTCCGTTTCCCCTCAAGAATATCAATTTTTCTGGGATAAAAAGCCTAGCTAAAGGTACCCTATTATTTAATCCGGACTTCGAACTTTACGTCTGCAAAAATTCAAAGCAATCGTTTTAGTAGTTACAGCGTGAAAGGGGAACAAACAAACAAACTCACTTTCCGATTTATTATTCAATACCGGAGATCAGCGCGTTTAAACAAACAATCAAACAAATTTTTCAGCTTCATAAATATCACAAGAAATGCAAAAGATAATTGAATGCTTTTTGCAATAAACTCGAAGCAATTGAAATAGATAGTCTTTGTAGGTAATTTTTATCTCAATTTTAACACTCACACACACTTCGATGCACCAGTAAAAGTAAAAAAAAAATTAGATAAAAAGTATCCTATGTCCGTCTCCTGGTTCTAAGGTACCTCCCTGCCAATTTTCATCCAAATCGATTGAGTCGTTCTTAAGTTATAAATAGTGTAACTAACACGACTTTCTTTTATATATATAGACTAGCTTCAGCCCGCGACTTCGTACGCGCAATCCCGTTCTTTCCACTTCCCGTTCGTGATTTTCGGCGAAAAGTAAAAAAAAAAAAATTTGGTGAAAAAGTATCCTATGTCCGTCTCCTGGTTCTAAGCTATCTCCCCACCAATTATCATACAAATTGATGTAGCCGTTCTTGAGTTATAAGTAGTGTAACTAACACAACTTTCTTTTATATATATATAGATAATAGACACGTGAGTTCTAACGAAACAATAAAACGTTTTAATAAGAGATAGCTTCATTTAATGCAAAGTAAACGTTATATTAGCTTAAAGTATATTTGAAAATCATAAAATAATAAAGCCATCAGACCAGGTGAACTGCTGCTAGCAACCGTATGTTGAGACGTCACAAAAGATATTTTTGTTTTGAAATTAAACAAAGGAATATATACATATGTATGTTTGTATGTATGTACATGAGGTATCTATGTAATTGTATGGTCTTATTTTGTACCACTAACAGAATGTTGGTAATTTGCTATGCGTCTGCTAAACAATGTAAGTAACACCATTCTTTGGCGTGAAAGGGTTGGTAGGTAGAAGTACCTATACCTAGTTTCTTGCCTATTTGTGATATACAGACTAACTTTTATTAGATATTATAATAATTATTATAAGTACATATAATAATTATTGGACCAGTTATATAGCCAAACAGATAAGTTAAGCTATATAGGTAATAGCTATATTTTTATGAAGACTTAGTATGTATTCTTATTACATAGATACAAATATAGTGTATGTCGTTAATGTATCGATGTAAAACTTAACGTGTATCATATATCCGGTGACAGGCTCAGCCAACCGTCCTTAAGTATCGATTTTAAGATTAAAATATATTGTTTGTGCCGTGGTAATTTCAACCTACACTATGGTAGTACAAGAAATAACTATAAAAAGTAACTGTATATTTATATATATTACTAGTATTTTCCTTTATAGTACCATCATTTACAATTGTAATTAGGTTAGCAAGTACTTAGATCTAAAATATTGCATGTTAAGATAGCTGCAATACCTACATTTGATCCAACTACGGAATTTATAAGGATCACAAATACTAAAGAGAATTTTTGTCATATAATTAACTATAATAAGTAGCTCGACGAACAAATAGATAATAATGACTTCCATTTGTGACTTAGTTTTACAATACATTGACTTTTGTTTTCTATTTAGTAAAAAATATCGTTTATGCTCTTAGACTAAATACTCTAAGTTTATAGCATTTGCCCAGATAGAAAGGAAAGCAATTGTTAAGGGAGTGACTTCAAGTTTACTTTAATGACAATTTTCTTACGAGCCTAAAATAGCTAGTAGGTGCTGAGTTATGTATCCATGAATCAATCCCTTGACTGAAACTTGGGAAATTCGATAATTATCGAAGTTATGATATATACTATATAGGTAGTGGACATTTGTGGGGTGGACTGAACTTTAAATTATAAATAAAGGAGAGGGTAGAGGTTGTACTGGCACATGGACTAGCATATGCTTTGTTCGCACGACGCTAGTATTTTAGTCGAGTTGCGAATATTTAGTAGTTCTCTTTCACTTGCATTTTGGGACAGAAGCGAGAGAGGACTACTGAATGTTCACTACTCGACTAAAATACTAGCGTAGTGTGAACAAGGCATTAGTCCAGCCTCTTCTGTCTCTGTTTCGGACGATTATTATTATGATTATGAAACAATACTTAATACAGCGGTAGTTAATTAAAAATGGTCTTACAAAATTCCCACATTTAACTCACTTTGATCGATAAGACGGACGGATAATAATGCAAAATATCTTCATCAGTACCCCCACTTTGTCTGATAAGAGAACTCTTTTGAATATCTAAAATGTCCGATTGGTAGCTGGATGATGAACTGGAGAACGTCTGTAAAGAAATATACTCAGTATCTTTGTCCAGACATTAGTAGGTCAATCATTTCTTTTAAAACATGGTATCACACTTTATTCTGTGTGGGAGAGCCATGCTTCGGCACGAATGGGCCGGCTCGACCGGAGTGATACCACGGCCTCACAGAAAACCGACGTGAAACAATGGTTGCGTTGTGTTCCGTCGCGTGAGTGAGGTTACCGGAGGCTCAATTCCCGACCCCCTTTCCCAATTCCTGAATCACCAACAATCCCAATCCCAAAAGACCAGTAACGCACTGGTGTTTCAGGTGTCCATGGGTGACGCCGATTGCTTACCATCAGGTGATCCGTACGATTGTTTACTGGTTTATCCCAAAAAAAAATCTCCAGTATCGTGGGAGTTTTTACAAACATACACATCACACTTAGACCCACTACAATCATTTGTAGACCACATAAAGAATTCTTTCCACTAGGAAGCGAACCAGCTATTCCCGTTGGGAACAACTGCTCCTTTATATGTTCTGTGCATTGCACCAACCGAGACTTTGATACGATTGACTCAAATCTAATAAATTATTATTGTTAATTAATTAATAAATTATTATTTATTATGTATATAATAATATAACAAATAATGTTTAATTAGTGATGTACTATTTTATATGGTGTTATAATACTATAGTATAATAAAATTTTATCAAAGGAATCGTACCGGAATTAAGGACGCTCTCCTGTTTCGACCGACTTCAAATGATGTCTTCTCTGGTCTAACGAATACGGGGTCAATACAAAATCGGTTGTCCTCGTTAGCATTAAATATGAAGAATGAGTTGGCTAAGGGAGGAAGGCATCTCATAAGGATGTGCCCACCAGCCAGAAGCGCGCAGACTATCGCCCCAACCACAGCAATGACAGGGGCATGGCCCAGATATTCCACTGGTAGACCACACTCAGATTTACGTTCATCAAACCTAAAAAAATGAAGCACCAAAGACAAGTGAGAAATCCACTTCTTCTATTAAGAACTATGTATTGGTTATGTCCACCATCATATATGTACCTACTTACGATAAGCGAGTAAACGCCATGGCGTTTACGTAGTCGCTACACAATTCATGAATTGTGTAGCGATACGTAACGTTTTCGTAGCGACTTCTCATCGTCTACGTCTGCTTAGCAATCGAAGTATTAGCTACACAAATATTCTTTCGTACAACCGACCGCCTACGCTACGTCTTTCTAGCGGCTACTGCTACGCAGATACGAACCTTCTGCGCGTCCTTTCCGTAGCAACTACGCTAAGTCACCTACGCGTATTATTAATCCCAGATATTTTTTTGGCGGTAATGAATGGTTTATCATTAACTAAGCCTGGGGAAAAGTGATTTTTTTGGCGCTGAGAAAAAAAATCAATCACCAAACATTTCATTTTAACTCCGGGTCTAGTCTGACGATGTGAACTTAGACACTTCTGACGGCTAGTGATGTATTTATTTTCCGAAACAACGCTATTACTAAGCGTAATAGCTTTGACACAGTTCAAGACAAGATTGAATAATAGCCCAATTGTGGTGCATGAAGGTATCTAGAACGCAAACATCAGAAATTGGTGTCAAATCTTCGTAGGACAAACGGGGGGACATTGAGAGCTCCAATGTCATTATTTGTAATAGATGAGACATATCGTTACCAATCAGAAACGCCACAATTTTTAATGCCGTCGCAAACAACACCGTTAGTGAAGCAGAACTCCTGTGTGTCTATCACGCAGAGTGTTTCGTTCCGTGGGTTGCAATTAGTTGGAGGCTGCGCACGGGCAGAGGTCGCCGTCACTTGGTATAAATCAGCCTGCAATCAGTGACATTATTAAGGGTCCCGTCTCGTGTAACTTCCTGACAACTTTGATTATTATTATGTGCTTATAATAACACTTTCATATGTAGATGCGGGTCAATGCAATTCTTACAATTTGTGTTTTTGCACATGTATTACACCTATTCCAAACAGTTTATTACAGATGGTTAAAAATACCTCGACTTTGCTCGTTGATTAAACATAAGACGTTGAACTCGAAAATTGTGCTTTCTACCATTCTATTGGCCACATCTCTGTGTCCTTTAAATATCTTACTTACTAAATTTAGATGGGTACGGTCTGCGAAACTACGATCTTATTGTTTTTATTGGTACTATCGATCAATAAAGAAGACTTCGTTTGGCTCGTGACTTTCTTTCTTTTTGGTACATTAACAAGAATTTCGTAATAAGTTGAGTAACATGTTACGTGCATGACATTATAAGTAGTCGGTAGACAGTTGTGATAAAATCTGTATAACAACAACTATACTAATAAACATATTGTATAATACTTTCTATTGAAAACACAGAATATTCCACAAAAGTGTTCGTTGATGTGCTTGAGTAAATATCTACTAATCTAACATCTAGAAACGTAAAAAATTTCTTGTAATATACAGTGTTCAATAGATTGTATATTCATAGGTATCAACATAAATACAGTACTTAGAATATGAAGAACTAATTCTGTAATTAGTTGAATATCATTTCTTCCTTTTTCCATCCCATCTTCATTTTCAAAATTTAGATGTAATTACTTTATACCTTTATACGAGATAATTATGTTAGGTAATAGCTTATATTAAAACATTCGTATTAGTTACTAACCAACGTTAAGAAAATAAAATGGTTTCGCTATCATCCAAGAAGAAGGATGTAAGTATGGTTTATATAAAAAAAAACATCTAAAATTCTTTGGTATTGTTTATCTATTTAATTATAATTATGCGAGTACTAGTATGGTCACACTTTCCTCGTTATTATCTGTGGACACAGGATTTGAGGGCTTCAAGTAACAAACACAAAATATAATGCCTACACATTATAAGTATTTCAGAGATTGACATAATGACTACATGATTAACTAGGTAGTAAGTACTTTAACATGAGAAATACCGGTTATATCTGATCACCTTCGATCAACAATAGCAACTAGATAAAGGGTTACGTACAAAATCAAGCTCCAGTTCTGTCCGTGTGAATAATAATAGTAAAAAATTATCAAACTGAGAAAAATGTTTTAAAATGGTTTTAAGTTCAACCTAATAACAACCATGGCACCTAATAATAAAGTCATAAATCGTCAAAGTATTATCTAATACTTACGACCATTCGTCACATAAGACAAGAAAAGCATTTTCTTACTCCTGTCATGTAGAAATTAAAAGACATAAGTTATACAATATCTAGTTTGAATTCAACCTTAAGCTAGAACAAATAAAGATAATTTTTCCGTTATAGACTTGTGATCTATATCGTTTTGTTTTGTTTCGTTTTGCTTCTTCGATTTTTGAATTTCGCTACAGGAGGTATGTATGGAGTCGCGTTAAACACTAAAATAATTTTATTTTCGGGATCTTAGTATACATCACTTATTTTTATTAGCGGTACGTTTTTGTGGATCATATGTTTATTTACTTTGTCATTAAAAGTCTATGTCAAAATCATTTATTTCAGTTAGACCAGGAAGGCACTTTTGAACGTCAACAATATAAATTTAAAAGTGAAGCTATTTGCTCATTCCAAGGTGTAGATTCCTATGGAGAAGAACGAGCAAGAAACTCCAAAGGTCAGGTACTCTTTTCCAATCAGGTTACAATACAAATTTGTTTTACAATACAAATCGACTCCATGGATCCACTGTTCTGTTTAAACAAATGTTTGTGCGCGTGTTGGCGAGGCTTGGCCAAGGGATCGCCAACACACGCACAAACATTGGTGGCGTTGGTTTATAATTGGTAATTTTGTCTAATTTGATATTATTTACTAATTTAAAAGCTTAAAATATAACTTATACTTTATGCACTTATCGAAAGTAAGACACTCCGGCCGTTATACTGCTTTTTCGGTTATTATTTTTGCAACTTGCAATTACGCACTGCAGCATCGCGAGACGTGATTACGTTGGCCATGTTTGGAGCATACTAAACAAAATAAGAGCTCACTTCTCAAGTGAGCTCTTATTTGTCGAGACGATTTTCTTGCGCCGACCCGATATCTAGTTGTTATTGTTGATCGAAGCTGATCACAATTAAATTGTAATAGGTTGTATGTGTGTGTGTGTGTGTGTGTACAACTGTACCTATAGTTAAAACTGCACAGTTAAATCGAAAGGTGCGTAGCGTGCACAAGCGTGCTTTAAATTAACTAAAATGTTAATAAAAAATTGTCATACTTTTTACGACTGTCTGACATTTTGAAATTAAATGTGTGAATAGGTTTTATAACACATATTATGTTCAGACTGCAGGTAGAGAGTGTGTGTGTTTATGCACTTTTGAAGTACCTGCTTAGCATAATTATCTTACTTCAAATCCAGTTATTCTCAAAGGAGGGATACAAGTAATTTGAATTTATATTAGTTCCTACTAACCTGGGTACCTTAGATAGGTACGTAACAATATTAAGCTCTGAAGCATTGTTAATTAAGAATAAAGCTAAAAATCTCACTAATTTATATTATGTTTTCGGCTTACTTACGTAATTATTTGACGAGGCATGTAGCAGCGCGACAGTCGCCGCGACGCGGGACGCGAAATGCTGCTCATAAATATGAACCTCTAGCATGGCTTGAAACTAGTCGAGTTCCTAGTCAAATAATAAAGTGAATAAGCCGAAAACATAACATAATTTATTTAGTATGTCTCACGAAAGTTATAATACTAAAAATCTCAGTTTATGCTACGGGTTCTTTATTCCAATTTCCACGTAACAAATTACTCCGTAGGTATCCCTACTTATTATGCAAAACTTTTAGTTATTCGAATATAAAACCTGTTTTGGCGTTCAATGAACTACTTAGATATAGTAGGTTTTAAAATATTTTTTTACATTGATGAAATAATTTCGATTAAGTGGGTTATTTATGTTTGCTGGTTAGCATAACTACTACTACTACCGGTACCAATTAGCTGGTTAGCATATTTTTTTAGAGTAGGAGTCCCCGGGTTTTAAGTCTAAACTAAAAGAAATATACTAAAAGGCAGGTCAATATCTATATATAATCAACGGATCATTTGGTAGGTCGAAAATCGGTAAATATCATTAGTATTTTTTTAGGTACTGTTAAAGTATTTTTTTAGGAATTCAAGCAGAAATTTTTTGTGAATCATTAAAATCCGGTTTCGATATTTGAAGTCCTTGCTTGCACGGTAAGGTTTAGGTCGATGTTGTGTTTACTAAGTTTTGTCACTTGCCTGACTAAACTTGTTCTGTGCATGACGTCACTGAGATATTAAGCATATCTGCCTAATGTTTTTTAAATCCATTTTGTCATCAATTCTGTTGAGATTGCACTTTCAATACTTAAATGCATGTTTGGTTGAAACAGAATAGATGAAAAACCTACATATTCGGCAAACACTTAAATGATTCTATTCTATTCCAATCGGCATCCCAGTGCCTTTAGCCAAACGCCACTTTAACGCTTGTATACAGAGAGAGTAGAAAACTAAATGTATGGGGATGACACTGGCAAGTGTCAAAATTTACGCCAATTTCATATAATTTGGTGTTCTATTCTACATATAGACACGCACTACGGCATGGCATTTGGCTACAGCCGCTGCGCTGGTAACACGCGTCGTGGGGTCACGCTGGATGTAGATCGGTTATTGACATTCACACTGACCATTGACAACATAAACAACACGATACAAGCCTTGTGTAGTATGGGCTCGCTGCCATTGCAGCGGTAAGTCCCCTCTTTGAGGAGTGGCTTGAGAGACGCTACGGCGTCCTCACCTACCGCCTGACGCAGGTCCTCACCGGACATGGAAGTTTCGGAAGGTACCTGTGTCTGATGGGGCGGGAGGAAACGCCCGGGTGTCATCACTGCGAGGACCGCCCTGAGGACACGGTGGAACACACAGTGGGAGAATGCCCTGCGTGGGCTGAGCAGCGCCGTGCCCTCAGGGAAGTGATCGGCGATGGCGACCTCTCGCGTCCGGGCCTAGTGCAGGCCATGATGCGGAGCGAGGGGGACTGGGATGCCGTCTCCTCAAAAGGAGGAGCCTTTTGCGAAGCAGTCATGCTAGCTAAGGAGGAGGCGGGACGCGTGAGGCAGCGAAGCGCTGCCTCCTCGCAACCCAGCCATCGCGAAGGACACACAGGGATCGCGGGACGATCTCCGGCCACCGTCAGCGCGGGACTGCGGACGGCGAGCATGGGTGGCTCCCCGTCCGACCAGAAACAGACCCTAGCGTACGGCGCGTAGCGTTCCGCGCGCGCCTCAAAGAGCCATCAGACCACTACAGATGGGGCCCAATAGGGCTGTTGCCGATTCGGAGTCGCGGAGAACCTAACGGGTAACGGGGGCTCCGGCTCGACGTGCAGGAGAAGGAACTGGGTGGTTTTTAGTCAGTAAGAGTCTGACACGCCCTTCCGCCTCACCCAGGCGGGAGCAGTCATTCGATGATTTTCCCCCCTTAAAAAAAAGCCTTGTGTAGTAACTACTACATTATGATAGGAATTATTATGTACTATCAATAAATATCAATCCATTACTAATACCTACTCATTTTGTTGATTCGTAATTACCTTAAATTGTGAATAGCATCTGTATATAAACACTTATGTCATTGTCAATTCACAACATTAGCTTCTGAGCAATTTTTGAAGAAAATGTAGTAGATCCTGTTCAATAATGATTGTGACAGCATTTACATTAATAAGTCTCGATTCATACGCAATTGGGGGACTATGTGTGAATTACGATTTTGAAGAAGGCTTCAATGATTTGTTCAGTAGTTACGGCGTTTGTGATACCTTCCCGCTTTGGACTGTTAGCAAGTACGAGGAAATAAATATGACGGGAGTGTAAGGGAGTAAGTCGTTCATTACCCCTAGTTCTCAACTAATTGTAAGATGTGCATCACCATTGGTTTTTTTAATACAACTGGAACGGGTGGAAATGTTCAAATTGACAATTATATGGAACAATCTGAAATAGGTAAATGTATTGCAAACTCTGAACATCTTCATAGTCGGTACAGATACGTACGAAGGAGTCGTAAGTGTATTTTAATAATACTTAATATTATATAAACGGAATAATTTTGACCTTACATAAATTAGGAATTAAATGATGGGATATGGTATTTTTGTGTAGTAAATTAGATAAAATTGAGAATGATATTGTGCAGCATTGGTATATATAGGGACTTACCTGACAGCTGGAAAGACAAAGTGGAGTAGTAATTAGGAGTAGGTATTTAGAGGGTCAGTCAGGCTACATTTTATGTCACAGATTAATCCAGTTAATATTTTTTTATATACAGTTCTGTACGTTAGTAAAATCATTTATCTACAAGGATAAATTTAAATATAAAGGTAGATAAAACAATATTTAACTGTACAACAGGTTACATAATATCAACTTCACATGTCACAAAGTATAACACAAATATTCTCACTTTCTCTTTAATTACAAAATGAACACCGAATACGGTTATCTTTTAGATATCTTACCTGTATTGTAATGCAGGTTTATATAATTGCATATTGCACTGATATTTTGACTGCGATACACCTACTTTATATGCTAATCGGAATAAGGGAGTAACACAATTATTATGATTTCAACCCAATAATGTGTATTGACTTGTTATAGATATCTATAGCAGGTAACACATCTCAATATTCTATGGTATTAGTATACGCTTTCCGGTACACGCCATCTGAAGTCGATGAAAGATTTTGCCAGGATACAACGAATGTTTGTATTCCCATAAGGCAGGTTCTAGGGTAATTACCACTACTCGAAGGACTAAAACAACGAAAAGCAGCACTGCGACCAAATGGACCACGACAACCACATCGGGCTCGATAACCCAAAGCAGCACAACTACGACAAAAAGGACCACTACTACTACCAGAAGTACAGCTAGACCAGACTATAACACAACTGTGTCAAATTTCAACACAACCACTTCAGACACTGTATCATCCTCCATCCCTATCACAAGTACAACAAACATAGCTCCAATGATGATACTTGTTATATCACTCTGCATATTGTCAGCGTTACCAATTTCAAGGTGGCAAAATATAAATAAGATTGTAACTTGCACTTATACTACGGGTTATGGAATTTCTCGATGGTTTTCTCTATTCAAATAGATCTACATTTTGGAACGAACATCTAGCTGCCTGCTGCAAACAGACTGATGGATTTTTCTATTTAAGATATTTCAAATGTGACGTCTAGGTCTAGTTGGAATATTGGTTGGAATCATCTATTTCAACTAGACCACACATTTGACTTAGGATACCTACTTGCCGTTGGTAGGTTTTGAAACCGCGCCTTCATGCATGAGAAGCGGGTGTCTTAAACGACCACGTTTTTTTTTTCTCATCACTCTATAGCATTAACAATAATGGTATCATTATAATAATCTTTAACACGAGTAAAGGTTATTGATGATAGTACCTAAAAATTTAAGTATTTTAATTTTTTATTACCTGTCTTTCTTTACGGAAATAGTGAAGAGGTGCATTAAATGCTCGTTTATTTAGCTATAAAATGTGGCCAAAGTGGGATGATAAGAATCCTATTCTATTATAAAGAATATTTCCGTAGAAGCACTTCACTTACATTAGCTGTTTTCTTTTCGCCATTTTACACTTATGCAAACAGCTGGACTATGAGTGTATGGGGTGATGCCATAGTCTAAAGCTGGCTTAAGCCTTTGACTGCCGACAAAAAACTGTTGAAGGCAAATCCTCCGCTAACGTATGTCACCGGCGACATACGCGGTGGTTAACGTGTTAAAATTAATTTCGAACGATAATATTTAACAAGGAATATAACTTACATTTATATCGGAGTTGATGCTGCTATTACTTCGAAATTTAAAACGAATTCTTCCTTTGACTGTAATAACGAAATAATCAGACAGCAAATCGTTGGAGGCAACCAAATCACAGAGGCGAAAGCATTTATTTTTTTTCATAACATGAAAAGCATCTGTGTTGGCACGGCAGTTGATGGCGATGCTTGTAGGGAACTTTATCACCACCACGAGGAATGTGTCCTTGTATCCTTCTACCACAATGTCTATGTTGCACGTGTAGTCGGTTTCATAGATTGTGCGAAACACCTGCAAACAAGATGATTATTTCTACACTATTTTCTGATAAGGCTGATTGCTCGTCCTACTATGTAAATTTGTACAACAATAAGCTTCAAAGTATTCGTTCACTAATCAACTATTTCATAGGTTGAGGGATGACTGTGCTGTCGCTGAGGTCCTATCATATCCGGCTATTAACCTGTTACCTATGCTGTGTCTTACTCAGTGCTATTATCTAAGGATTCGGAATTCTATATAACAACAAGATGAAATTATAATTTAATTCAATCCAGTTATGTAATACTTACACAAGAACCGGTATTATGTTTTAAGGTACCAGTATACTCGTAAATACTGTTGGTATTAAGAACTTTAGCATAACTTTAAACGTTTAAAAATAGTTTAGAGCAAGTTCGAGTTACGATTGATGGATATCGCTAGAACTTTACACCATGCGTAGATCAAGCATCGTGGAATGTTCTGACTAAGGATATAATCCCGAGATGGTCCCATTTCCATGTGGTTAGGATCTGATGATGGATTCCAAGGGAAACCGAAGGAAATTTTGTATTACAGTAGGGGCGAGTAATGCGTCTATTACGTTTTTCAATTAGGATTTTTAAACACTACAGTTTGATAAGGGTCTGGAGTCGACCTGATGATGGAGCTGACAGACAGTCTAGGGAACTCCTCAGTTTATATTAACCAGCTTGTGTTTGGACTTAATTAATTTGTATTGAAGAGTCTGATGATGAAGAAGTGTAATTGATAAGGGAACTCCTCAACTGTATACAGTAACTACTTTGTGTTTGGGCTTGAATCATTTATATTGATGAGGACTTTACACCTAGATAGAGTGGGACTGTCATTCAGGGTCTGATGATGAAGAAGTGTAATTGTTAAGGGAACTCCTCAACTGTATACAGTAACTACCTTGTGTTTGGGCTTGAATCATTTATATTGATGAGGACTTTATACCTAGATAGAGTGGGACTGTCATTCAGGGTCTGATGATAAAGAAGATTAATTATTAAGGGAACTCCTCAACGGTATACACTTTTTATAATGAAAATCCTACGAAATCTATATGTGCATCCTTACTAATATTATAAATCTGAAAGTGAGTTTGTTTGTTTGTTTGTTCCACCTTCACGCCGTAACTACTCAACCGATTGCTTTGAATTTTTGCAGATGTATAGTTAGAAGTCCGGATTAAATAATAGGGTACTTTTTATCCCGGAAAAATTTGATATTCCCGAGGGAAAACAAAAGTATTGGTATAGATGGCGCTGTGTGTATTGGTATATGTCTCATTGGCTTTTTATCCTTTTGTAACGCGAGCGAAGCCGCGGGTAAAAGCTAGTAGAACTATAATTATGTATTTTTAACTATGTAATTTTTACAATCTTACAATAAAGGAAAACTATAGTACCTACTTGATTGAAATTTAAAATAATACATATACATGCCTTGGAATACAAGGCATATTTCTTGGGGGACAAGTAAAAAAAATCTAAATTCTGCCTGATATTATTAATGCGCGGACGAAGTCGCGAGCAAAGGCTAGTGTTGTATATAAATGTCGAGATAGATATTTACTATTATTTGCTTGCTCAGATTTGAAGCCACGCGCGATATGGTTAACTATTACATGTGCAAAAGTCATGATAAAAGAAGGAAATTCATTATTTATATCAAATATATAAATTAAAGAAATTAAGTCATTTTTTCATCGGGGTCTAGAGGTGACATTACTAGTTCTGAGTGAGTGATATCAGTTCTAAAGAAGATAGGTATATAGATAAAGTGCAAGTATATGCAAGTGAGTAACAGTAATGGCGTAGATAATAGATACTTATAAGAAAATATAACATTTTTCGGCTAAGTAAAGTATTTGAGAATTTGGTTGTGTCCAGTGTACATCTATTGCTCTGCGCTTGCCCATCATTTTAAAGCACTCATCGCCTAGCGAAATGTGAGTTTTACCTTCAGTGATTGTACCAATATTGTCTGCTAATTTAATGTATAATATTTTCTTTCAATTTTTAAAAGGAGAACGGCAGATTTTGTACCGCTTCGCTAAAAAAAGATTTGTCATTAAAAAATTGGGTCATTATAGAACCTCCTAAGTACGTTATGTTAGCATATTTAATAGATTTTTAAAACTTGGGAAACCCTAGAAAATCTGATATTCAATAATGATAAAAAGCAATCCACTATACGTAAAACGAACCGCGATTGACGTTCACAAAGTTGCCATGCGTAAAGATGAAATCAGAGCATATTGAATTTCGCTATTTCATAAACTCATTTATTTTAATATCTATCAATGAAATATTTTCCTTTCCATTTCAAACATTTTTATAAGTAAATATAAAAATCTACATCCAATCTAAATCTACGTTTACATGGATTATTAATGATAATTAACATTTTAACATACTTGAATATTATGGCAATGTTGAACTGGCATTTGTCTTGATGACATTGACAATTAATTTGTCAATACTGGCGCATTGCTGTTTGTTTCAAATGCGATGTTATGATGTGTTTGTTGAATTTGAAGTTATTTTATTCATCTGGTGATACGTTGAGTTTGGCAACCGTTCCTCCGTAGCCCAAATTGGTATTATTGGCATCATTGTTGTGACAATTGCGAAAAGACACTTATTTACATTATTTTGTGCAGTGTGTTGTTATTTGTCGCGATGATGAATTTACAGTGTACTAATTGCATTCAGAGTTTGTCGCACATGAGACGGCATGCTCTAGAAAATGAGAGTGAAGATTAGACGTGGTCAACAATATCCCAATGTGGACTTATCCTAGAGATGTAAGTACCTAGTTTACCCATAACATATCGAAAGTCACCATGTTCCTGAATAAAAGAAGGCGCATAGTGTTATCTACCCATAATGTATCATTTTATTCTTTTTATTCTAGATCTCTCCTACCGACCATATTTGCAATGCTTGCTGGCAATTAGCAATGTATCGGATGTTGCTGAAAGTATGTCCAGCAAACAAATTGGTCACTGGCATGTTTGTGTCGTATATGGGTGATTCATTGCAATGATAAGGTGACGCAGGGTTTTAATTGAAGGCGCCAACAAACAGGAGTAAAGACTGGCTCATATAGTATTTGATTGGATTCAGCCACAAGAGGTAATAAAGCATAATTTAACCATACTATTATCTATATACAGTGTAATCTAAAGTCAATATCATATTCTAATAATATTACTTATTTTAGCTTACTTCCCATGATGAAGATCATGTTCCATACTGACTGAGAGACCGTACAAGAGTCGAAACTATAAAACCACAACCTGACATACCACCTCACAGTGTTCACTATCAGGAAGTAATGTATTATGTAAACATGGACTAAGCCTCACATTAACATTGCCATTTGTAGAACAGATGAGGCCGGATGATGTTGTTCGGCTCTCAAAGCTTCAACAGGTATGCATTCTCAATATAATGTACCTACATAATTATGTATCTATGTGGAGTATATAAGCGGTCTCTAATAGGTTTATACTCATGTTATAATTATAATTTATTAATTAGCATGCTGTTTGAGCTCCTATGATCTGTGTTATACGAATAACTATAATAAATGTTATAAAATGAAGTAATGTAATCAAATATTTATCTTTTCCATTTTAAGATAGGGAATCAGACTTATTATTATAACATATAAAACTAAAGGAAAAAAATGTACTTTTGTTTACTTTATTTACAGTTATCTTACTTGTTTACAGATATCAGCAATTGATGTCTGCTGTACCTATGACACGGCCTGTTCTCTTTTTAGATGAAGTACTCCTAGAAACAACCTGAATACAATGAAATAAAAGTATTTCAAAATAATACATTTGTTTTATTTTAACCTAGTAAGTAACTATATATTCCATCTTGATAAAACTGATTTTAAGAATCAATCTATAAAATAAATGCCATATTTAATTTAGATAGCTTTAGTTTTATACCAAAAATGTTCATTTTCATTTTACATTTTCTTTAGTTGTAATGTGGTGGCTCAGAGGTTTAAGAAGCCCGCTTCTCATGCATGAGAGTGCGGGTTCGAAACCTACCAACGGCAAAGTACCTTTTGTCCAATGTGTCTTTTTTCCGAGTTATTGGTATATTCAATAATCTAAGAAAGTACAAAGACACCGCTGACGAATGGTGAAGGAAAACATTGTGAGGAAACATGGGCTTATAATTTCTTATTATAAGTTTGAATTACCAACCCACATTGAGCTAGTATGGTGATTAATGCTCAAACCTCCATGCGAGAAGAGGCTTCGGTCAAAAGTGGCCACTTATAGACTTAATGATGAAAATGTTAATGATTCTACTAATTTGACTTACTTATTAGAAATTAATACTTACATGCGTGCTAAGCAACCAGTTTTCAGAAGAAATACTTTCTCAAAGAGCTAAGCTAAGTTTAAATCGAATTAACTTGAGACCCTTGAGACTATCTACCTGCAAGATTCAAGGTGAAGTGAGACATTAGTTTTATCATATCCGCCACAAGACTTCCACTGCTAAATGTAGGCCTTCTACCCAATGACAGTCGCTTACATTATGAATTTGCATTTTCGTAGGCACCTAAGAAATGAAAAAGATTGTGAGGCATACTCTTTAAAACTCTATAGGTGCATCATGCTTGCTGAATTAACAGGATCATTCCTAATTGCCTTTTGCGCTGCGACGCACCATAGGTTATTTTTTGGGTTTCTAAATTCTTGTTGTGTGTCGTAGCAAAATAAATGGTTTTTCTTTCTTTCTTTCTTTCTAATAATACAAAGTGTAATAGTCACTTGAGTAGCGAGCAGTATTTTTAGATTTTTGTTTTTTGTAAATAAACAACCACATGAGAGCACATTGACATTTTTCAGTTAACTGTCATCTGTCATTTGTAATAGATATTTTGCTTACGGTGGCTCTACACTTGACGTTGCGTATGTTGTTGTTCGGCCAAAAAAGACATGTTTGGAGATTTATTCTTCTTTTTTGCTATATATTTGCACGCCATTACATATAGAAATACTATTTGGACGCCATTTGTACGTAGTCTACAAATATTTGGACAAATGAAGCGACTACGCAATGTCAAGTGTGGTACCACCTTAACATACCTTTTGCACATTTTCAAAGTGAAATAGCTTTTGAACCCCAAGTTCTAAAAATATGTAATTTTTTCCTAAACTTCATAATAAAAATATCTATCGTTCAGACTATTCACTTGGTTAAAACAATGACTAATACAAAATTCTATAGCGGTACAAAACTTCCATACAAACCTGCCATTCTCCTTTCGCTCACTCTGCCACCTTTTATAATCTGTAGTACATATATAAAAAGTTACAAATAATTTATGAGGACAAAGTTTTATTTTCTCAAGTCTATTTATTAACTACTTGCACATTGAACATAAATAAATGCTTTTTATGTTTTTTTTATCGATACTTCTCAATATATAAATTTATTTATTACTACTCGATGTCAATTATTCCACTGACATAATTTAATATAACCCACTTAATCATTGGCATTGGTAATGGGTGTATAGTAAGTAAGTGTTGTGTATACCTAAAATGTAATAATTATTACGGTCTTTATAAGTATCAACTACTTATTCTGTTAAGAAAGATTTGTAATACAGGTATTTTACGCCTAACACAGACGAAATTGATTATAAAAAATTGTAATACTGTTAAGTGTATGTGAGGAGAAATAAAAAAAAAATTGTTATTATTACTTTCTATAGGAAACGGTGTGCTTTTTCATTTTAGAAACTGACAAAAGGGGTTTTTGTGTTTACCGCTACACATTGCAATATATTAAAAAGCTTATAAAATTGTGCAACCCGTACATTACATACCTTGCATCACATAATAGTCAGCCAATGAGGAAATAATATAAAGAAGGTGAACTAGCAAAGGTTCCAAGGCTTCAATGTTTAGCATTTAACCAGTATGGAAGTTTTAATATATTGGACGTACCAAAGTAACGGTGTCTGACATTCCCATACCGAATGAGACATCATATCGCAGCCGCCCTGAGAAGGCGCACTCATTAGTAACATCAATTGGACGGTAAAGAAGAAGAAAACCTTGATCTGCTCCTAAGACAACACAAACTATTGCAAGAAACACACCATTACTTAACATTTTGTGTCAAATATAAGAAAATCTAGACGCTCGTGATTTTCTGAAGCACCTACCTTTTGAAACTTCATTCCGATTCGGATAGCTTAGGTTAGAAGGCCATGGCTTCGAGTCTAGTCTATATTTATATCTATATTTTGTTTTAGGAAAGGTACTGACGGCGGCTAACTTAGAGGTTACCGGTGGTTTAGTGAGATTCAAAAATCATGCATTCCCTAGATTTTATCCTCCCAAAAATTCGATGCCAATAAAACATTTGAGTACTGTTAGATGTTTTAACGATGTATATTGTATATGATAGTTGTAGTTTTTTTACAACTATCTACATGACATCTAATTAGTTTTTGACAACACGAGCTTAATGTTCTTGGTAGCATTTTATCGGAAAGTGTATTTTGTGAGACTTCGTTTCATTTTATGAGCTACTTATGATATTTATAATGCTATTTTATGGAGTTCATTTTTTCTTATTTGTACCTACATGCATCCTTACTAATATTATAAATCGGAAAGTGAGTTTGTTTGTTTGTTTGTTTGTTCCGCTTTCACACCGTAACTACTAAACCGATTACTTTGAATTTTTGCAGACGTAAAGTTAGAAGTCTTATACTTTTTATCCTTTTGTGACGCGAGCGAAGCCGCGGGTAAAAGCTAGTACTTAATAAATAGGCTACCTCCTTGCACAGACCTGCTGTCGCGTTTGAGGCCTGAAGTCATATGTGGCATATATTTCTATGTGTCGTCTGTTTCAGATGTCAGGTGACAAATCCATGGTGTTTGGTGATGGAGGTCTGTCGCCAGACGACTACACGTACAGCAAAGACTTTCGTACTGCCTTGCCCCAGTTCTTGGCCGTCAGCGCGAAGAACTTGGTACTTTTAGGTAGGTACTTTTGTGCATCAGCTACGCAATGGGGCCAACAGTATTTTTGCTCAAGAGATGGCACTGGTGGGGACTTCTCGTTCTTCGTTCAATAGGCAATTAGCTAGTGTCATTTTATTGGGCGTTCAATATTTGACAACTGCTGTGATTGGGCTAAAAGCTCTTCCTACATTTACGCCGCCTGGTGACCAAAAATACGGTAGCCCCTATTACCTCTCAACTATTTTAAGTATTTATTAACACTAGCAGAAACGAATGTTTCTTAATTTAAGAATCTTGTAAATTGTTGACCAATAACTTAAATGCCCTTAAACTTAAATGCAATTTCTTCATTTTATTGTAGCCTGCCCATTTTATTGCATGCAATTTCATAGAAATTCTTATAATTACAAAAGATTGTCATTGAAAACAGCTAGAATGATTTCGTTCATTTGAATTTGGATTTTATCTGAATGATGTAAGTAGGTATATAGTAATTAGATACCTACATTAGCATGAAGCCAATACAGTTCTTAGAATTATATTTTATTACCGCACATCATTTTCATAGTATAAAGAACACAGTAGGTTATCTAAGGCCGCCCGCCGAGTTATTAGCCTACTCTTGCGTTGATCCCCAGGGTTGTCACTTTTACTTTTAGTTAATGTTTTCGAACAAGCAGCACTTGATCTAAATTTATGAAATGAAAAGCATATTATGATTGAATATTTTATCAATTTATAAATTTAGTAAACTAAAAAGCTTATAAAAAGATTATTAACTTCTTAAAATAAACTTTAGCTCTATACATAGTATTCAGAAAGTAAATTTTGGAATACATTTATATGGAAAAATGCGACAAGGCCATGCTCTTAACAAATCAGATAAACTGTAAAATAAACAATACAATACCACATTTTCTTATAATATTTAAGTATAGTAGGTAATTACATTTCTGGTTGAGTAGGAACTATGAAGAATGATAAGAGTAAGAATAAGTAAGTAGGTATCTCATCATCAAGTACCTACAAATTATATTATGCTAGAAAAAGTGACTAGCTTACCTTTCCTGTTCAATAGGTAATCTGAACAGAGACAGTTCTGGAATCGATTAATTATTAAGACACCCAAACACACAGCAATACGTTCTTCTACGGTTATCAGACATTTTTTATTTCATTTAACAGTGCCGAAAAGTGATGCGCGCGCGAACCTCGTGCAGTGTTAGCCCTGCCTGGCGCACTGAGAAACGGGTCGAGATTTTGTTAAAGTGTGCGTGCGTCGACGCATAGATACTATGGCGCACACATATAAGCCGCGCGCGGAGCATTTGTATGAAGATAACCTACTTTGTTCTTTATACTATGTCATTTTCATACCTGAGATAACAAAACATTTAACAAGAGTTTTTTATCAAACCAATTGTATTTGGCGTTTCGTTTTAACCTTGTGAGCAGAGTGACGTTCAAGGATTTCGTCAAGTAATCAATCGTGTATTTAATTCAATATTTATAAATCATCTGCATGCTGGAAAGTAATTGCTTCTGGCAGTCTGCAAAACCGGATATGTTACTCGTAAGTTGTAGATCTTGTAAATCAAGAGGTAATAGGTACTACTTTTATCTCAATCCACGGTCTTAGTTTAAAATAAGATGAAATACCCTTTCTGCTATTCCAAGTACTTAATTATTATCTTCCTTAAAATTTTCATTAACAGCCCATTACAATTTACTATTTGGGGCATTGCTGCATACAAATCTAAGGTTCTTAAATTCTTCTAGGATATGGAATGACGCTTGGATTCTCGACTATACTCATGCCAGCTGTTCTGGATCCCAAAGAAGGCGAAGTTCTACATTTAAATAAGTCAGAAATTTCATGGATCAGTAAGTACATATATGTAGCATTTGAAGTAAACGGAATACACACATACAGATGTACGTACTATGAATACATTACACACTTCACTCGACCAATTAAGCAAGAACATTGACATCATCACTATTCATGGGGTTTATTGCATAATAATGAGGTCGTCAAGTCTGACAAAAGCCTTGTTTTATGTTACCCATTAAACTTAACCGAACTGTGCGAAGAAGAGTTGACATAAGTAAATTATGGTACTTTTGTACTTGTGGCTATTTTTGTGTTGTACATGATCCGCTTGGTAAACGTTTGATTTTACGTCTCTGAAGATCATCAAATCTGTCTGAGATCATCATTTAAACGAAAACATTGGTTATGTGGTTTATAATATAACGGTGTTTACAACGAGGACAACTAACATCAAGGTTCATTTTTGTTTGTATCTAACTAGTTTATAGCAGACCTTGTAGGGTCGTTGAGGTAAATAAATAGAAATAGGTACCTGGATTGACTTGAATGTCATAAACAAAACCATGCATAAAAGAATATTTGATGTAGGTAACCAATGAAAGTTAATATAATGTACACTCAGCTTGTTTGCATAACAGATAAGAGGCAAGTAGTTGCCACGGTGGTGACTGGCATAATAATATGTAGCGATTTAGATTATATTAATTTGTACAACCTAAAAACCTACTAATAACAGTTTGTACATATTTTGGACGTATGTATGACACTGAAAAATGCTTTAACAAACAAAGTCTAGGAGCAGGACAAATTCCTGGCGTGTACATAACAACGAAATATATGAATACTTTAAAAATGTGTCTATCTATGTGATACTTGGGTAAACATTCTTAAAAAGGTAAGTTATTTGTCGAAGGGATGAGGAGAACTGCATACAGTGTATACTCATACTGCGATAGTAACAATCATAAAGAACTTCCAGTATTGAGTGTATAATGCACGCTACAGACCTTACGATTCAACTGTACAGTCTAATTATACTGTCAAATTGTAGCCTACACGCCTTACGATTTAACTGTACCATGTCAAATGCCGTGACAAAGGTTGAAAAGTTAAATCTAGTGTTATATAAGTATCATCCCAATGATACCTGGTAATTGAAAGTGAGCAGTTACAATGTTTCGGCTACTTATTGGCAGCGTGTTAACTACATCTATGTAAAGTTGTGCTTAAAGTCATATACATAATAATTCAGTTATACTTTTGTTTATACGCATATTATTTTCTTGCAGGTTCCATTAATCTCATTATAGTGCCTTTAGGATGTGCACTATCGGGTGTTGTGACGTCACCGATCGGGCGTCGAAGGGCTATGCAGATGGTCAACGTTCCCTTCTGCATAGCTTGGTTGATGTTTCACTTTGCAACAAGCACGGGACATTTATATGGGGCCCTCTTCATTACCGGTCTATCAGGAGGCTTACTAGAAGCACCAGTAAGTACTTTGATTACTTATTGATAAATACTAAAATCAATAGGGTCGATGTACTTGAAACAATAATTCCATTTAATTATAATTATTATGAGGTGTTCTCTCACGACGTTTATCAAATATATTATTATACAGTTAAAACTGATTACTTGAATGCATATAACGACGTACTAAATGTAGCATCTCGAACAACTTTATCTCAGTGTCGGCATTGTTTTCCTGTAGGCTTGAACTTGAGAAGAGCACGAACTTAATGTAATTAATGATCTTGTTTACGTACCGTATATGAAGGGTCATTAATTGAACTAAGTAAGTAGTTGATAATGCCGATCAAAATCGGTCCGCAAATAAATTGTACGTAATTGTAACTCTTATGCATGACGTTTCACTGCTAGACTACAGTTATATAGGCCTTGTCTACAAAAGAGAACAGCGTGTTAAAGATCACTTTTTATAAAAGATTAAAGTGGTTTATACTACACCTTAAGACTACTGGCGCCCGTTAAATTTAAAGGTCAATCGACTCTTTCCCATGGAAGGTGTAGATGACATATGTATACTGCTCTCCCTGTAACCGACTAAGTTACCTGATTCTGCTTATCTACCTTATTCATTACAACTATCTAGACATTATAAGTATGATGTTTCGTAAAGTATTTTATATTTATTTTCCCACCATTCTTCGTGGGCCCAGTAACAATTGCGAACCAATTTTTTCATTATTATCAAACTACATATGTTTTTAATAATCATTAAAGTTTTTCAATTCCACCTTTTTCTGATAAGAATTGCATCGTTACGCACGAGTTCGTCAAATGGCAAGCTAATGTAAAATTAACCGTTGCGCGTTGGTCCAACCAAGGAGCGAAACGAAAAATATTTATAAAGAGCAACATACATAAAGGGCTCCAATCCCGCATCGAATTACGATGTAGATACGGCAGAGGAAGATACTAGGTTTAATTTATGTCATTTCATTTAAGTAATTGCAGTATTTGTAACTTATTTTTTATATTTGATAGGCCGATGTTTGGCCACTGTCTCGCAAGTTTGTCTTAGATCCCTGTTATAAAACGATGATGAAAAGTATTTTAAGTCCAATTAAACATGTCGATAGGAATGAAAATGGGTTTTAGTCCAGAACACGATTTTTTTGCAACTTATTGCCCATTGATTCATGAGCCCCATGTAGGTACTAGGCCAAGCATGTTTTTATTGCCATGCGTACTTACAACCATTTTAGGCTCTGTGACTGACAAAACCCCAGCAATACCAGGAATTGAAGACTGGCCACCATGTCTGATCGTAAATAAAAATAAATAATTAAAATTCTTTTTATTTCCAGGTGCTGACGTATGTGGCTGAGATCACACAGCCGCATCTCCGCGGCGCCCTGACGGCCACCAGTTCCTTGTGCATCATTCTGGGTGTCTTCACACAGTTTCTCTTCGGCATATTCATGTACTGGAGAACTGTGGCTTTAGTCAACATCGCATTCACGGTTAGTTTAATTAAAAATATTCCATACCTACTTAGATAAGAAGGAATTAAAATTATATTTATCTTAATCTTCAATTGTTTGCAAAGAGTATTTGACTTGTTTAAGTTTTTTAGGTACGGTTACTACCTAGTACTCAGAGATATCTAATGACTATACTAACTATTCCTTAACAAAGATTTTGTTCTGAAAACAATTGGTAAGGAATGGGTTTAGTAACCAGTAAATGAAAGAAAAGAAAGAAAGAAAACCCATTTATTTTGCTACGACACACAACAAGAATTTAGAAACACAAAAAAAGCCTATGGTTCGTCGCAGCGCAAAAGGCTGGAGCTCAGCTTAATACCGTGGACCGGGCACAGAGGCTTGAGCCCACGGCGCTGATTTTCAGCACCAGCCCGTTATAGTACGTAGGTACTAATGACTCTGAGTATGGCAGTTAATCTTTCAGTATATTTTTACATACAATTTCGCCCACGGCATATACTATCGCACTCGTCTACGACAATGTTCCAATGTCGCTTTGACATTGGTGAGCACGTATGTATGTGTCCGCAATTGCTTTCTCGAGTCGTACATCAGTCGGGAAACAAAGCGAATGAACGTGAACATGCCCATACCCATAGACATAATAAATTAAATATGTGCCCACCAATGGACATTGGTGCAGGTTTTATAGCAGGTGCTTTTACGTTTACCATATTTACAGATTAAGTCTAGCGAAGACTGCGTTTTGTTAGCTAAGTTAATTATTATTATGACCTAAACATTGAAAACAATAAATTACGAATTCCCACAGTACTTATGTACTAGTATGTAATAATACTAATAACATTAGAATACTAAGAATAACGTGGCTCTGATCATACATTAGTAATTTTCCAAATACCATGAGTATTCAATGAACGAATCGTTCCGCATCCGTGACTTCCATGCCTTTGCACGACATTGCCGCGAGGTTAACACTAGACTAGGAACTCACTGTGAACGTACATTTATATCATGGTAAAGTAATCATACAAGCACGATTAATTAGGCCCTATAAGAACACAATAAGATACGTCTAATGCAATATACAATTATGGATACTAATGACAATAAAAGAAGATTAACCCATCTTACTGGAAGGCTTTTTATTACTCAGAAAATCTCTGATTATTATCAATTAGACTCTCGAATGAATTATAATTAGGTAGACAAGAAAAGGAAAGAGACGAATTGAGGGTTAGACCCATAACGACCACACACAATTTTCACCTTTGTCACGTGAAAAATGTTCTGACATCATAACTTCATCATGAGCATCTTTTCTGCTAAATTGGGTGCATTTATCACTAAGCAGTGCAGAAGAGCTAAACAGCCACGCTCTTACAAACAAATAATGATGTAGGTACAACGCCAATAAAACAGAAGACTGATTATAATAAATGTCAACATCATCAATAGCGTTTAGCATATATGGTCTCAATTCAATGGAAAAGAGCCAATGCATGCAAACAACTTTCTAAAGCTTTCTCTGTTTATGCGAGTTGAATGTAATGTAACCCTTCATTGAGTTGTTTGACAGTGACTAGTCAGTATTCATCGGCATTCTTCTAATTTCAAAATTAATTTATTTGCTGTTAAGAAACAGGTTGCATTTATTTTTTTTATTTTACATCTTATAGCCTGCTTCGATCAACTACGACAGTAGTAGACCGAAGTGTAGACGTATTTTTATCTAAATACAATATTAAGTATGTCACAATATCTGCAGATATCAAATGTATCTAAAGTCTCGGTAAGTCCTTATGAGTTGCAAGGGCTTAGTGATCAAATTTCACTAAATTCTCCAATAAGCCCTCATGATTTATAAGGGAATGAAAAGCAGACATATCTATCAGTATGACCTTAGGGTGATCCCGAGAAGAGTATACGGTGGGGGTAAGTTATGAACTTGAACTTGTGTATAGTTTTCTTCTGCTTATTTCAAAATGACATTTTCAGGTAACTGCTATTATTGCCCTCTGTTTCGTGCCTGAGTCTCCGCATTGGCTGGTGTCTAAGAAGCGTTTTGATGATGCTAGAAGGGTAAGTTTGTTCAAACAATCAGTTCACACTCTCAGTTCATGCTTTAGTGCTACGTAGTTCAGATTTTGCAATAGGTACCTACCTGTTTGGTAAATTTAATGTTGTTGGAACATAACATATCTTATTGGTTGTGAGAATAATCTTGACCAATGACGGCCGAGAAAGCGATGGAGCTCACTAAAAATTTCGAATTGAAAGTTATAAAATAGAATAGCTGTTCTTAATTAATACCTACTTAGCGTGGAGTTCCTACTAGAACTATAGAACTTCTATCATCTATGGTATTACAAAAAACAGTTTAGTTATAGTCGAAGGCATTATAAGGTTTACCTTGGGAAAAGTATTTGGAACCTATCAATATAAGAAACCCTTGAGGAAAAACTCTGATGTTAAATAGAGTTTGGTGTTGGTATTTTTACTGAACAAATTATTTTTTTCAGAGCTTACAATGGCTTCGTGGTTGGACAACTCCTTCTGCTGTGGAAAACGAACTCCGTGACATACAGGTGTTGTTCAAAAGGGAGAAAAAAGGTCATCATATTTTTCTAATCCTAATGTTTATAAATATTTTTTTTCTATGAATCAATTTCTTAGTACACAACCTGAATTTTTGTTTTCGTTTACAGATTTGATAGAAGTTGAAGAAACAATGTCTGAAAAAGTGTCCTATTATACGAGAAAGAGTTTTATGTTGCCGTTTTTCCTTGTGACTTTCACGTTCTTCGTTGGTAACTTTAGTGGCATGACAACATTGCAGGTGAAAAAAGGTTTTATTTCTATCCTTGTTGGTCGAGTGGTCAACCAAGCTTGGCGAACCAAGGCGTAATATTTTTTCCATATGCATCATGGACGTATGATTTATCAACAACGTCCTTATCTACTTGAATAATTAATTAACATCTACATAGTGTCCCATCCATAGACGAGGCATGAATTGCATAGAACAAAATTACTAATAATCCATTTTACTGTATTACAGACATACGCAGTGTCAATATTCCAAATGCTGAGGGCGCCTATTGACAAGTACTACGCAACATTGATCCTTGGAGTGCTGCAGATAGTGGGTGCAGGAACTTGTGTCTTGTTGGTTCACTATACTGGCAAGCGACCCCTCACACTTTTTTCCACTAGTGGAGCTGGAATTTGTTGTATACTGGTTGCTATCTACGACATATACATCAAAACTGTAAGGAATTATACATTGTACATATAACTACATACCTACCTACTTAGATATATCGAAACCGATGTGTGGGCAGGACTTTGCCTGATTCTATTCCTGCCTGTTAATTAAACTAAAATGTAATATTAGGTTCGACTATCTACTTTCAATGTAATTATTACGGAAGTACGATGAAAACAAAGCCCTAGGGAATCTAGGAATTTCCTTTTCTTATACCTACATTAGAGTTAAATACTAAAGAATAAGTGGTGGGACCTAGTTGAATTTTAAAATTTTTACCAAGAGTCACTTAATCTTTTTTAGCATAGTTACTATATTATAGTTTATGTTTGACTAAGTTATATAACTTATTCGATTTTATAATATATATACTTTATGTTTTTCCAGAATGGTTTTACTGAAGCATTGCAATCAAGTAATGCTACATTGACTGCGATTAACAATTCGTCAAATGAAATGCAAGAAGAACCGGTAATTAATTTGCTTATACTAAAATCTATTTTCTGATTTTTTAAACATGATGAAGTCAATACTGTTTGTAGGATGACCTTTGATGAAGATACCTTTGAAGATGCTTTTTGTAGGGGTGAAGTATCACCCCTACTAGTTCGTGTTCAGTAGAACACGAGATTATTCTGAACACCTCACCATACTGAGAAGCTTTGGTTATAGTCGACAAGTTATCATCTTCTCAGTATCTAATCCTATATTATAATTCCAGAGGAACCCATACTCTTGGATGCCGATGACGCTACTGATGCTACTAGCTCTTCTTGCACATACTGGCTTAAGATTGCTTCCTTGGATTCTAATTGGCGAGGTGAGCCCTGATAATTTACTCCAAAATTTCATGTTAGGGTGAGCTCGCCCAAAGTAACTCAAGATTCTGTGAGAAATTTATAGGTTCCTACCTAAGTATTGTTGATACCCAATATTCCTATGACGTTATATTAAATCTTAAGAATACATTTTAGGCACATCAAAATAACTAATAAGTACTTTTTATTTGCCTTGTACAGAAGATTTATTCCTAACTTGATACATTATCTGCTTTTCGAAACACAGTCATACATAAAAAATGGGTTTGAACATATCCGATGTTTGGTTAATAGGAGGTTGATGTAATGATTCCCTTTCGGAAGATTTTCTTAAAATTTAAACGACTATGTGTCGGACTAAGTATATCGTTGGGGAAAAAGTGCGATTTTATTTTTATTAAAAGACTTAATAGTACGTAGCTACTGGATATAGGTATCTAAATCATAGGTATTAAAATATAGATCTGTTATATTGATGAAAACTATCATACCATTGTATTTTTTTTAGGTGTTCAGTGCCAAAACACGTTCGGGTGGTGCTGGAGTATCAAGCGCTATTGGCTATTTGTTCGGGTTTTTAACAAACAAGCTATACATAAGTATGGTGGACACTTTGTCTATATGGGGCACTTACGGCTTGTACGGAATCGTATGGTAAGTAATAAATAAACTCTTATGAAACTATGTTACTATTTTTGTCTACCTATTCTATTTAGTTGATGAACGTAAAGAAAATAAAACAGTTGGGCTCACCTATGAATTAGAGTCACCTTAGTAAAGTAAAAATATTAAGCCAATAGTAAGGGTCACACTAATATGACCTTGATAATATCTAGGTATCTTTCTGTAGGTTGTGTTTGTGTCAAAGAATACAAATAGGTTTTAATGAAGTCCTCCCACAAAACAGAATATTGTGAATGTTACGTTAATGCTGTGATTTGAAGTATAGTAGCTATTGTACATTTATGCTAATCACATCACATACGAATTCTAATTTCAGTTTTGTTGGAGTCATCGTGTTCTACTTCATATTACCTGAGACTGAGGGAAAAAAATTAAACGACATTGAAAACCATTACGCTGGAAGATCCAAACTTAACAACCAAGTTTATAGATCTCGGGTAAATATCAAACAGTCGACTTTTTAAACTTATGCGTACGTTAAGTTTGACGTTCAAAATTGCCTCATATTAGTCTACTTATTTGAAATAAATTACTTAACTTTGACTTTGGATAATAATGATCTTGTGAGATTGAGGACGCTTGGGATTTGTGGATGCTTGTGAGCCTTGACAAGCATGAAAAAGTACCATACGTTTATGTTACATAGATTTAGCTGTTGAAGAAGATGCGGAAAGATAGTTTTGAGTCTTTTCAAAAGTAAAACCTCTTAAACATTGCCTATGTTACGTTTTAAACGTACATAGCTTGAACTTGTACACTAATTTAATATTGACATTATCAAAGAAGAGAAAGAACTACTTAAACACCTCAAAGGATGATGACCGAGAACGATACAAAGCCTATCACGGAAAGTTCAACGTCGCTGTTGGCAAGATAAAAACAAGTACTATTAACTAACTAACACATTTGTATTGAAATTGAAGACCATGCTCAAAATAAGCAGTCCAGGGATTTGTTCATGAAAATAAAATTCAAAGTAAGAATCAGGGGCTGCAGAGGTCACAAATTGACGTTTTTTAATAACTGATATAGATGGGGTTGTCAACAGATGGAGAGAGTACTACGAAACCTTATATGCAGATCCAGCAGTGTCGGAAGACGTTCCAAACAACTTGAATCACATACCCCTGGAACCAGAGATTTTGAAGTCTGAAGTCGAATCTGCTCTAAAGAAGTTGAAAGCAAACAAATCACCCGGCATTGACGCCATATTTGCCGGAAATCTGAAGCAAATTAGTAATTCTGGAGATAAACGTTCTGCAGAATCTATGCAATCAAATACGAAGGACCAGGGAGTTTACCTACTCTTGAATTCAATTCCGATCGACCGACATTGGTATTGTGAAATTTCGTACTGTTGAATTGCAACATTAGCGCCCATTGCATATCACTGCGAGGACCGCCGGAGGACGCGGTGAAGCATACGATGGCGGTGTGCCCTGCGTGGTCTGTGCACCGCCGTGTTCTCAGGAATGTGATCGGCGACGGCGACCTCTCGCTCGCATCCGGAGGAGGCGAGGCGCGTGAGGCAACGAAACTCCTCACGCCTTAGCCGTCGCGAGAGATACTCCGGGCATCGGGGATTGCGAGATGACCTTCGGCCACCTTAAGCACGGGCACACCTTAAGCATGTACGGCGCGTCGCGGTCCGCGCGTTCTTCAAGGAACCTTCAGACCACCACAGATGGGGCCCAATAGGGCTAATGCCGACACGGAGTTACGGAGGGCATAACGGGTTGCCGCGGTTCCGGTTCGAAGTGCAGGAGTAGGAACGGGGTGGTTTTTAGTCAGTAAGAGACTGACAGTCGCTCTCGCCTCACCCAGGCGGAAGAAGTCATTGGATGATTTACCTCCCGGATATTGAATGAACTCAATGGTAATGCGTTTGGCTTTATTTTCCGTACTCTGGATGCTATTTTAACAGCTACGATTAGGGATCGTATAGTTCTGACATTGTATTATTATTGAGATTTTATTGGACTCAAATTGCATTGACATTGAGATTGGTTTCAAGAGTAAGACCCAACACTGGTAATTAAGGCCTGAGGAATGGAGGGCATCCATATTGACCTCTTTAGATAAAAAGGGATCTACGAATTCCTGCGGAAACTACAGAATCTCATGCTAGTAAGGTTCTTATGTACGTTGCTAAGAGCGTCTTGAAGCATTTCTGCAAGCTACTGCCCAGCCTGCTCCACTGGAATCTTAACAGATTCGCAGCAGGCAGGGTTAGTGAAGGGACGAGGCACTAGAGAATAGATCGCAAACATCAGGGAATTACAGACAAATGTCGCGAATTCAACATCCCAATGTTCAAGCTGAATGCTGGACCCTAAGGAAAACTGAGAGAGCAGAAATTGACACCTTTGAAATTCGGTGCTAGAGACGCATGCTACGTATGCTTGGACAGCTGCTCGTCGCACCGACGTCTCCAATCTCAAGGAGATCGGCATTACCACGAGACTGTCCACCATATGCCTGCAGCGAATATTGACTTATTTTGTCCACATTTCACGTAGAAACTCCGACAATCAGAAGAAGTCCTAGTGGTTGTTGGTCAGGTTAACGGGAAAAGACCTCGCGGTCGTTTAACTACCCATTGGGTAGATGCTATAAAAAACCTCACCGGCCTGACAGTTCCACAAGCTATAAATACCGCAATGGACAAGGGCCTTTGGAGGAGGGATTAAATGATGCGTGCACCAGACTAGACACGATCTTCAGTAATGAAGATAACGACTAAAAAGAAGAGAACGAGTAAAAGAGTAACGAATGGAGATTCTTGCTCGTTCTTCTCCATTCAAATCTACGTTTTGGAACGAGCACATAGCTTTGTAGCCGCACCGCACGACTACATACCTACCAGTTACCAGTACCACCGAATACCTTTCCATATACCAGATACCTTCCACAATACCTTTACCAAAGTTATAGACTCACTTCGTTTAAAGAAACAAGAAACCAATTGTCTTGAAAAAGACAGTTTACGTTTTGACTCCGTTTTAAGAAACCAGAAACCAAGTGTCTTGAAAAAGACAGTTTTCGACTTTCCTGCATAGAAACGATAATCATCACTGCGGCAACAGCGTTATCACACCGTGCCGCGAGCGATCGCTTCGAAAGAAGCGGTTTGGTAAAGCAAGCAGCCAAGCAGCGCAAGCGGAGCCGGAGCCGGAGGCCGGAGTACTTGCATTCATCTTCATTCATCTGTAGGTAGTCTTCAGTCTTCACTCAACGCCGGCTCTCGGAGAAATGCGCGCGCTCGCGCCGCGCTGTCATACTTATACGGAAGGAACCGATAGTGCCGTGTGCAAAGCGGCGCCCCGCACCCCGCGCGCCCCGCGCACGCCGGCGCGCCGCTATTGGTCGAAACTGTCACCTAACTATATCTGATCTTGTCTAGTTGTAAATATGTAAATAGAAATATAAGTAGCGTAGTTTGGCGAAATAAAATCATTCTTGTCAACACCTCTCATCGGAGTTTTACTACTACTAGAAGATAAGAAGAAACCTCCTCTAGGACACTAGGCTCTCCTACCTAGCTCCTAAATCGGTGACCCCGACGCTGCCAACGGATCTCTGCAAGAATCAATCAATCGCCGCCTAGTACTACAGAAAATCAAGCTCGTCGTAATGTCCAACTCCAACGAAAAAACGCCGGAACTCTCCAGCGTGTCGACGTCACTGCGCATCCCACCCATATGGCGCGACAGAATACGCCTATGGTTTGCGCAGTTCGAGGCGATTATGTCTCCGCAGAAAAAGGGCGACCAAGCCATGTTTGAGCTTGTCGTCGGTCATCTCGAAAGACAAGACCTCGATGAAATATCCGACATTATCCTTCATCCTCCGGAGAGAGACCGCTACGAAACCCTCAAAAACAGACTACTCCAGGTCTATGAGGAGTCTGAACAGCGTCAAGTTCAACGCCTTCTCTCCGAGATGGAGCTCGGCGACTTAAAACCATCACAGTTACTTCGCCGGATGAAGAATCTCGCCGCGGATAATATATCTGACGCTGCGCTTCGTATTATGTGGACAAACCACCTCCCCCAGTCCGTGCGCGCAGTCCTCGCTGTCAGCGACAACATCGCTAAACACTCGGACATCCACGATCTAGCGATGATGGCTGACAAAATACTCGAACAGACGCAACCTCATGGCACAGTCGCTGCTGTGACTGAAAACCCCGCTTTCCCCCTGTACCTACAAGTATTGAAGACAAAATCGATATGCTTACGAGGGAAATCGCCGAACTCAAAGCAGCACAATCTAACCATCGTTGCAACCGTCAGTCGAGACGACCTCAGAACAGATCGCGATCATCGAACCGATATCGCTCCCAGTCCAGACAGCGCGATAACACTCCACGCCGCACGGAATCTTCTGGAATTTGTTATTACCACCGCAAGTTCGGGAAGGAGGCACAGCGATGCACACGTCCGTGTAATTTCCAGAACAACAACACCCGTCCGGAAAACTAAAAGGTGCGTTGGATGAGGCGGGAACCGGCGCAACAACTACGTCATACCGCCTGTTTATAACAGACAGAAACTCACGTCTGTCATTTCTAATTGATACTGGCGCAAACGTCTCCGTCATCCCTAAACGAAAAGGCGTGAAGATAACCCCAACTGACTTCTGTTTATACGCCGCAAACAACACGGTTATACCTACCTACGGTGAGAAGACGCTACAATTGGACCTAAACCTACGCCGACCTTATAGTTGGAAATTCATCGTCGCTGAAGTCAGCAAGCCAATCATCGGCGCCGACTTCCTACGCCACCACCAACTACTCGTCGACATAGCCGGTCGATGTCTTGTCGACAAAGTAACCAACCTCACCGTCAAAGCGCCAATCTCATATTCCGCCGAGCCAACTGTAAGAAGCATAGACGTCGAACAGCCGTATCATCAAATATTGAGTCAATTCCCCGATATCCTAAGACCATCATGCATGAAGACCACTCCCAAACACCGCGTGGAACATCACATTGAAACCACCGGTCCACCTGTACATAGCAAAACCCGGCCATTACCCCCACATCGATACTTGGCCGTGAAGAAAGAGTTTGAAGTCATGATGCAGCAGGGATTATGCCGTCCAAGCAAAAGTCCCTGGTCCAGCCCACTACACGTCGTCCCGAAAAAGAATGGCGACATACGGGTATGCGGCGATTACCGAAGACTCAACGACGTAACTAAACCCGACCGCTACCCTGTACCTCGCCTCAAAGACTTCACATACCTACTCCACGGCAAGAAGATTTTCACCACACTCGACCTGAATCGTGCATACCAACAATTACCCGTTTACGAACCCGACATCGAGAAAACAGCCATAACAACCCCGTTTGGCTTGTTCGAGTTTCCCCGAATGTGTCCAGGCTTAAAAAACGCGGGACAGACATTCCAACGGTTCATACATCAAGTACTCAACGGGTTAGACTTCGCATTTCCATTCATTGATGACGTAATCATCGCGTCAGAAAACAACGCACGCCACATCGAAGATCTACAAGAAGTACTACGAAGACTAAATGACTACGGTATCACTATAAACCCGTCAAAATGCGTCTTCGGTCAAGAAAACGTCAAGTTCCTAGGATATCAAGTGTCGAGCGAAGGAATCGAACCTCCACTTGATAAGGTCAACGCTATCACTACTTACCCCAAACCCGAAACAATAGCGGACCTACGTCGATTTCTCGGCATGGTGAACTTTTACCGTGACAGCATACGTAACGCGGCCCACATACAAGCGCCGCTAAACGCATTTCTACATTACTCCAAGAAACGCGATAAAACAAAAATCGAGTGGAACAATGAAGCACTTCAAGCATTCGAGTTGTGTAAAGCTAGCATACAAAACGCAGCTTTACTCGCTCACCCATCCTCGTCACCAACTCAACCAATATCACTCATGTGTGACGCATCGAACACCTGTGCTGGAGCTGTCCTACAACAACTTGTAAACAACAAGTGGGTTCCCCTCGGCTATTTCTCGAAGAAATTCTCAGAAACACAACAACGTTATAGTACGTTCGACCGAGAATTATTATCAATATATATGGCGATCAAACACTTTAGAAAAATGTTCGAAGGAAGAGAACTCATTGTTTACCCCGATCACAAGCCGCTTACCTACGCAATACGCAAGCCGCCGTCGGACAACGACACACAACGACGCACTCGTCAGCTGTTGTTTATAAGCGAGTTCACGACCGACCTACGTCACGTGACCGGAGCGAACAACGTAGTCGCCGACGCACTGTCACGCGTTGAAACGATCGACTTACCATCGCCGATAGACTACGAACAACTATCTCAAGCACAAGAAAAGGACAGCAATATTCGCAACCTATGTAAACAAACGAATATTCAACTCAAGAAAATCGTCATACCTACTTTAAACAAGCCGATTTACTGCGAAGTATCGACGCCTCACATTCGTCCATACCTACCAGTTGACTTTCGTCGCATCGCATTCAACGCCGTGCACAATACAAGTCATCCTGGTATTCGAACTACACGCAAACTAATGCAGCAACGATACTTCTGGCCGTCTATGAACACCGACATTGGCGAGTGGGCAAAGTCATGCATTCAGTGTCAACAATCAAAGGTACATCGACATACGCACAGTGACGTAACATCATTCCCACCGAGCGAGCGTTTCGAACACGTACACATTGACATCGTCGGACCTCTGCCTACATCTTCGAGCGGACATCGATACCTACTCACTATGATCGACCGCTGCACCCGCTGGGCAGAAGCCGTCCCTCTGCGAGAGATATCAGCCGAAGTCGTCGCAAGAAAGCTGTATGAAGCATGGATATCACGCTTTGGTTGTCCTATCAAAATCACGACTGATCAAGGACGACAGTTCGAGAGCAGCTTATTCAAAAATCTCGCTCAGCTACTGGGAGTAGAAAGAACTCGTACTACTGCCTACCACCCGCAGAGTAACGGGATCGTAGAACGCTGGCATCGTACATTGAAAGCCGCGCTCATGACTCGACTCGCCGACAACAACAAATGGTTGATCGAGTTACCTACCGTGCTACTGGGACTACGAGCCGCTACGCGCACCGACACTAACACTAGTGCCGCTCAACTTACCTACGGACAAGAACTACGGCTACCCGGCGATTTCATATCGCCATCGCCTACCTACACGAAGATGGACAACGACTATGTGGCTGACTTGCATCGTGTTATCACAAGCTTAACGCCCGCTTATCAGTCGCACACTAACCGACTGAGTATCTTCGTGCACAAAGACCTGCAAACATGCAGCCACGTATTTGTACGTGACGACGCAGTTCGCAAACCGCTGCAACGTCCGTACAAGGGTCCGTACCTAGTCTCCAGCAGAAGCGATAAGTACTTCACATTACAAACACCTAGAGGTACTACCAACGTGTCTATCGAGCGTCTGAAGCCTGCCTACGTCATTAATTACGATAACTCGGACAACTGTGCAACGCTACCAGAGGCTATCCAGGATCAACCCAGTCAACCTCCGTCGAGCATCAGCGATGTACGAAAAACGCGAACAGGAAGAATCGTCAAGACCCCAGTACGCTTCGCTCGGGGGGGAGTACTGTAGCCGCACCGCACGACTACATACCTACCAGTTACCAGTACCACCGAATACCTTTCCATATACCAGATACCTTCCACAATACCTTTACCAAAGTTATAGACTCACTTCGTTTAAAGAAACAAGAAGCCAATTGTCTTGAAAAAGACAGTTTACGTTTTGACTCCGTTTTAAGAAACCAGAAACCAAGTGTCTTGAAAAAGACAGTTTTCGACTTTCCTGCATAGAAACGATAATCATCACTGCGGCAACAGCGTTATCACACCGTGCCGCGAGCGATCGCTTCGAAAGAAGCGGTTTGGTAAAGCAAGCAGCCAAGCAGCGCAAGCGGAGCCGGAGCCGGAGGCCGGAGTACTTGCATTCATCTTCATTCATCTGTAGGTAGTCTTCAGTCTTCACTCAACGCCGGCTCTCGGAGAAATGCGCGCGCTCGCGCCGCGCGGTCATACTTATACGGAAGGAACCGATAGTGCCGTGTGCAAAGCGGCGCCCCGCACCCCGCGCGCCCCGCGCACGCCGGCGCGCCGCTATTGGTCGAAACTGTCACCTAACTATATCTGATCTTGTCTAGTTGTAAATATGTAAATAGAAATATAAGTAGCGTAGGTTGGCGAAATAAAATCATTCTTGTCAACACCTCTCATCGGAGTTTTACTACTACTAGAAGATAAGAAGAAACCTCCTCTAGGACACTAGGCTCTCCTACCTAGCTCCTAAAGCTTCACTGATGCACAGACTGATAGATAGCCTATTATTTATTTTTTATTTTATTTGTTGATGTTTTAAAAGTACCAAATTATGGTTGATTGAAATTGAAATAAATGCTTTGATTTTTAAGGTTTGATGAAATTAAATTTACGTGAAATAAATAGAATAATAAATTATAATAATAAAGCAACGCTCAATATCACTTCAAATAATACTTGGGAACCCAGTTTTGACTTTAAATTTCTAAGTGTTATTATAACATTTTTCCTTTTTTTTTGCAGAGGAAAGCTCCGAAAGATACTTCTAAAATGCATGAAATGAAAGGTGCTGCGAATCCGACATTCGAGGATGATACTTCAAAATTATAGTTGTACTTTGTAGATTCCGAGTGCATACTTGTGCAAGAGAGCCAGCAATGAAATTGTACAATACTACGTTCACCATAGTTTATATTAACCATTGTAAGAGTGTTGTAAGAATATTGTAGATATTTACTGCATCAGACCTCGTCTTCCTATTATGAATAACTACTTAGATCTTAGCTAAGTAACCTGTTTTAATTTAATTTTTCGTCTTTTAAAGTCTATAATACTGTATGCGTGTTAGTATGTTTGTCCCAATCTCCTTCACAGTCTACATCGCTAGATAAGTGTAAGATAGTTCGACAGTTATCTTTAGTTATATTATACAGACGAATTTAAATATAATATATAATAGGTAGGTAAGTATAAATAAACGAAATAAACAACTGAACCTAATGGCGAAGTTATGACGATTTAAACATTTATATTCTACTTTAATTTTTGCCAGTGGGAAATGAAATGAGTGAGGATATTCCCACACCTAAATATCTGTGATCAATTATAATATATTTAAGTAATTTAAATTGTTTGAATAAACAATCTATAGATATAGTAATCCATTGTGTTCCCTCTACTTATATTTTAATAATTGCCTAAAATAAATAATTTGGTTTTTAAAATTATTTTATTGTTGTTTTATTGAATTTTGTTTGTATTGACGAGTATGCATGGACCTTGAAAAGTTTGTTGAATGTATATGAAGCGAAAGAGGTAGATATGCCGGAATCCTATCAAATGGCGTTTAATTTTCTCTGCCAACTCAAATGCGGGACAGGCTTGACGATATGTATGTATTTACTTTATATATATCTACTACTACCACCTAGTACTATGGTATGATAACAGATGGCGGCTAGTTAGTTCTTTGGGTCCTATTCGAATTATCAAAGCCATTTTTGTGTCCTACTTTTTTATTCGCTTTAATAAAAAAATTCATTTTAATTATAATTGTTATTTAGACTTTTGCTAGTTTTAGTTTTTGAAGTGGACTATTTTATTTTTAATATCTTTAATTTCTTAGTGACTGTGACGGTACTTGTTAATTACTGAATACCTTAATTGTGTTGATTTGTATTACTTTCCATTCGGAACATAATTATCGAACAAAGAGGGTATTTTAATAAGTTAATACTTCGTACTTTAGTTAGTACCTATATTCTACAGATTTTTCATTCGTCTTCATTGTATCCGTGACTGTGGTGGGTTTGAAAGATTTGACCGAAACTTATTTAGTTTTAGTTTCAATTTTATTAACTGAATATTTTAAAATGGATAAATCGTTTTACACCTACTCAAACTCGGTATACGATGATTCGGGCTACAGTCCTGTTCGAAGTTCAGTATCGAGTCCTACTTTAGCCCTTTACTCAGACTTTAGGCGGAGTCCGGGCCCACAAGTTGATATTGATCTTTCACATAGCTTGTCGAGTATAACAGTCTCTAACGATTCTTATAATGAAGACATTGTACATAATCATTTGTTATCTGACTATTTGGTGAGTTGTCCGACGTGTGGTTTGACGATGGTCCCGGCAGTCCTGGTGTCTCTCTGTCAAGACGGTAAGTGTTCCACTACTACCTTCTAGCTCTTTTTATTTAGCTACTAAGTGCACATTTTAATTCAAATCTGACTTGTTATCTTGTTATCATTGTTTTTAGACCATACAATTAACGATTTAAGTGTCTGTAATGGATTAGTCCCTCCATGCTTCTTTAAATACCACTACGGGCTGAAAGAAGTTCGTTCGAGTCTGGGGCAGAGTGGGTACTTGCACCCTAGCTCAGTAGGTAGTAGTAGGTAGGTAGTACCAATAACCCAAACTAAAACACATCTAAAACATGTAGATATTATCTACAAATAGTGCTTAGTAGTATTTGTACAAAATTATACACTCGACCGACCGTCGTTAGTTGACAAAAAAATGCGATCAAAATGAAAAGCGAGTGAGAATCCCCCCCAACCATATTTTTTGGTTCATCATGATCATCATATCAGCCAGAACTTGAACTTCAATAATAGGTCACATTCGTGCGATCTTAATTGTAGGTTGTTTGTCTAACTTGATGTTGAACATCCATTGCTGCGCTTGGCGGCACGTGGTCTTCATTCTGCCTTATCGACCCTTTTTTAAGAGAGGAATATCATCTAATGATTCCTCCAGCCTTGGGCGAGACAGTGTCAGAAATCACCCCATTTTTTTTTAATAATAATGAATAAGTCATTAAAAAACTTACGCAAAATTCCCAAAAATGTCTCATCCATAGTTTCAGAGTAATGATTTTTTTTAAGTCAAACCTCTCAAAAGAGCTATTTCCGTTTCATTGCTGTTATATTAGAATACTAGCTTCTGTCAGCGGCTTCGCCTGCGATCCCACAGGTAAAATTCCTATGTATTACTTTAGACCAATTATACTACCTCTGTTCCAAATTTCATTCCGGTCCATTCAATCGTTTTAATATGACTGGTTAACAAACATACACACATCGTTACAGAAAAGTAATCCTTATAGCAGGATTCAGTATTCACGCGCGACGGGCGCGATGGCTTATTAGTGTATTTTTTATTGAATAAGTAGGTAATAATGTAATTTTTTTTAATTTATGGATTTGTGAGAGTAAACAAATATAAATAGAAAGCTCCGAACTGCAAAGCTATCGGGAGTTACACGTGTTATTGTGAGTCAACCATAAAAGATAGACATATTATTTTTTAAATCCATCGAAGAGTTTTTGTTTCTATAAGGACATAGGTACAGACTGAAAGACAAAAATTTTACTAATTGTATCGATCACTAATCACACCCTGATTTTTTTTTGTATTTTGGAAGTATATTCTGTACATGAAATCATGTACCTCTCTGCAGATTTATTATATAGAAGGTATAGAGGATTATATACCAATACAAATCCAAGTAAATTAAGCATGCTGCATCACAACTTATGTATTAGTCCAAGAGCCAGTGAACCCTGGGAGTAACGGTCTCCCTGTAAGGTTAGAAATTTGTATACTTACGATTTATGGTATTCTAAGAGCAATAGCCATGACCTGGCAGGCGTCAACCCTGCACGTCATCAGCCCCTTTATTTTTTGAACTGTTTAGTAAATTGGGTTTTAAAACTTGTTTCTGTAAATTTGAAAATTTAATAGGATAAAGTTTATTTATTGTCCATCTTAAAAAAAAATTGACAGGTGATTACAATAAGCAGAAGTATATGACAGATCAATTAAAAAACGCACTGTTGATGAGGTAATTAATAAACTTTATCCTGTATACTTGAAATTTTTATATGTCTTCAAATAAACGTCTCAGAGTAAATATGTACAATGCCAGGCGGTTTTGAACAGCATAAGACCTTGACAGGCGAGGGGACAGCTGCTAATAGCGTGCGAGAAGTGTCATGAAGATGGTACAATACATAAAACTCAGAAATCAGCAATGGTTGAAATTTTAAAGGCCTCTTCATGGTTTTGGCACGATAAATCATCATTTATATCGACAATCACAGAGTTATTATGGCCACTATAAGTATGGCATTGTTTGTAATTTAAGTTCACTATGGTATTCCCGATAAACTCTATCATTTCATTTGTGCTCCAATGTGTAATTAAAAAATCTACGAAAGCTTCTTTAAATTGTATGTTACGAAGTTCTTTCATAAAATTAACTGGTCGAATTTGTTCTGGTCCGGTAATGAAATAATTTTTGTTTCGTACTTCTTGTCGTTTGGCTCGTTATCTTTAATTGACGGCGAAAAGTATTGGTCGAAAATGATATCTACTCATGAGGCATGTGTAGCTGTTAGTAGCGACATAATATTTGTGGAAATACCACTAAATGTTTTGGGGATATTTTTTAATGTATGCAGTAAGAAGAATCCATCAAAAATCAAAAATGACAACATGAAAACGTCTTGGTACGTCTTCACAGTTGACATTTGCCTTTAAAATTTCAACCATTGCTGATTTCTGAGTTTTATGTATTGTACCATCTTCATGACACTTCTCGCACGCTCTTAGCAGCTGTCCCCTCGCCTGTCAAGGTCTTATGCTGTTCAAAACCGCCTGGCATTGTACATATTTACTCTGAGACGTTTATTTGAAGACATATAAAAATTTCAAGTATACAGGATAAAGTTTATTAATTACCTCATCAACAGTGCGTTTTTTAATTGATCTGTCATATACTTCTGCTTATTGTAATCACCTGTCAATTTTTTTTTAAGATGTACAATAAATAAACTTTATCCTATTAAATTTTCAAATTTACAGAAACAAGTTTTAAAACCCAATTTACTAAACAGTTCAAAAAATAAAGGGGCTGATGACGTGCAGGGCTGACGCCTGCCAGGTCATGGCTATTGCTCTTAGAATACCATAAATCGTAAGTATACAAATTTCTAACCTTACAGGGAGACCGTTACTCCCAGGGTTCACTGGCTCTCCAGCTATATGTAAAATCTCATGGAACTATAACGATTTCTTTATAATTATCTTTTCTTTTTCTATATTCTTTAGGGTTCCGGATTTTATCTCTCTAACAAAATATGCGCGTTAACACACGTATTTTTTTGTCGATTTTACGAGTGGGAGGTAGCTACGTCATTTTAGAGTATAAAATTATAAATCGTATTCAAAAGTGACGTCATGCGATATTTCAAATCAATATTTCTTCGAAACTATTCCTTTCCGTAAGAACCAAAAAAAAAATACGTGTCTAATACATACATACATGACTTCACGCCTGTCTCCCATGGGGGTAGGCAGAGACTAAGGAACGCCAATTACTAATGTTTTCAAATAATCTACAAGACAAACATTAAAATAAAAAATAATCATAGATGATTATTTTTTATTTTTTATAAAATATCAATATAAGAATAGGGTAGACCCTATTCTTATATTGATATTTTTCTTTTTCGATTGTAGTGATATTTATTTTTAACGTATTTTACAAAAAGGAAAAGGTTCTCAATTCAGCTGGTATCTTGTTTTTTTCACTTATTTATGTAGGTATATACCTACATTGATTTCGGCGTGGTTTGTGGTTCGATTTGCTTGATTCTTTTTAGTCTCATAAAAACCTTAAAATTTTTGAATAAGGAATGGAAGGCAGTTTGCATGGGAAAAGGAATCAGTATTGGTTAATGCTTATACAGTATGATGATAAAAGGCAATAATTACTTGATTTTATTATTCTTCTTTGTAAAGTCACATTTTAACTCTTTTAATAGTTAAACTCATGCCTCATAACCCATGTATATAGGTACCTACCTACTCTAAGATGACTTTAGGTGTACCTTGGGTACGGGTGATCGCACAGAAATATTTGTTACTAGCTTTATTACCCGTGGCTTCGCTCGCATCACAAAAGGATAAAAGTAGCCTATGTGACATATACCAATACACACAGCGCCATCTATACCAATACTTTTGCTTTCCCTCGGGAATATAAAATTTTTCCGGTATAAAAAGTACCCTATTATTTAATCAAGACTTCTAACTTTACGTCTGCAAAATTTCAAATCAATTGGTTTAGTAGTTCGGCGTGAAAGCGGAACAAACAAACAAACAAACTCACTTTCCAATTTATAATATTAGTAAGGATATCTGTGGGTGACCGCCTCCTTAACGGGGTGATAGGGTTGGAGTGAGTATTGCCTGTAACGAACTTCTAGACGGGACAGATGATCATGAGATGGGTTCTGGAAGCCGATGCCTCCCCTTTGTGCGTACTGCCTGCACTTCTCCTTGAATTTAGCAGAGAACGTGACAGAGAGGCAAGAGCAATGCTTGTTGTCCATTCACTAATGACAAAATAACAAAATGATTTCAACAAGTCTAAATTTCATATAAATCATACATAATTATTATTATGCCCCAAATTTGATTTATTTTTGTCCTACCTAGTTCTACCTATCTTCTCTTATCAGGTGCAAACCATGGTGATACTATTTTTTTCTTGTAAACCGTTTTCTTGTATTTTGTTATCTAAAGTACATTTTAATATTTATTTAAAATCTCTAGCAAGAATTATTTTTCCTATTTAGTATTTTTTTACCCGATTGATTTGTATTGAATTGAAGTGTTGGACTAAGAAAAAATAGTAAGTGCTGCCATCTGTAGTATCAAAAGTACAGTCTGGTTGTGCGTCAATTAAATAAATAATTATTTTCTTTACACTTCTAAGAGTTTTAATAGTTAATAAGTAATTTAATTTTAGTCCCTTAAAATTTTTCTACATTCATTAACAAAAATATGTGTATTATTAACTTGTAAAGTGTTTTATGATCGTAAGAAAAAAATACATACTCTTTAGTAACATTCTATGGGTCATGTAAAAATCATTATGCGGGCGGATTAAATAATTATTTCGGAAAGTGTAAATACCGCTAACATTGTTGTGAAAAACGTGCTTAGATATTATTTGTGCATATTTGCAAGTCCCCTAATAAGCAATCTACTAAAATCTATTACATTTTTAGTGTACTTTTGTCCAACACTATGCTATGTTGATGCCTAGTTTTGTCATCACTAAATAGAAAAAAAATGACATGCTAACGAAATATTGCATGCGTGACGTGAGTAGACGTGAACGATCGGATGACAGTTTTCAAGATTTTAAAAAATACGTGTTAATATTCATATTGAAAAGAAATATTTTTACATTTTTTATCTTTATTTAAACGAATTAAAACTTCGGCACCAACGCTGAAATTAAGTGATTAGCAATAATTTTTTAGTACATCAGTGACAGTCACGTTTGTTTATTGGTTAACATCCGCCATTTTGTACTGTCGTTTGTTTAGTGACTGGGGCTCTATCTATCCTAGTGATGCCAATAGCATTAACCAGGAACATTTTGTGATTTTACAAGTGGTGTACAATGTATATTCAAGAAACGTTGGTTTCAAAGGGTATAAATTAAAACGTGTGACTTGTCAACTGACGTCTATAATACTCTACCTATGTGCCGGATGTGTCCTACAATCGGTTAGGGCGATTTTACGTGCCACCTTGAGTGGTGTACGTGTCCCGATACCTATGCTGCCAAGAATATGAGTAGCAACGGGAATCAGGTGCCGTTGGCGCCGAGTCAGCGAGGACCCGGATCGTATCCTTTTTTAAAAACGTGTTTAATAAAGTTTGTAGGTATCGTTTTATTTACGTAATAAATGCCACTTCAGCAGTTAGAAGAGCCGCAAATGCGAATAATTACAAATATTGTTATTATTGCCACCCATGTAAATTTCCTGTGAGTTGAATATTGTTGTGCCAGCAGTCATGTCTTATCTGGTCAACTTACAGGTAGTTTATATTGAATTCAGGCAAGCTTTATTTGTTTTGCTGCAACATGACTTGTAGTAACCATTGTCTGTGACACTTGTGCAAGTATGAGTGACTATTTTTTATTCTTTACATGCACAATATTAAAACATTAGTGAACAATATAGTCACATGCAAGTGAAGATTACAAGTCAACTGCAGTTCAAAGTTTATTCAACTTTTTCAAAAGTTCTCTTTTAATTCTCTTTTAAAACTAATTTATAGCAAAGCGAATGTCCATTTATTTATCTTTATGCGAAGTGGGACTACTTTCTGTGTTGTATAACTTTATTTGAAGTAGTCACTTTGCTCATGTTTATAATGATTACAAAATAAAGCTGTTGAATGGAGATTTAAGCTGCTATCTTTAATGGAAGTTCAGATGTTTCTTCTCCAAGAAAACAGAAAAACTGGATTCTGTATTTCAACTGAAATATGTTGATAATGTTGATGTTTGTAAACAATTAATCACAATTTAATTCTTAGTTTATCATGTTTGTAAATAGAAGTATTTGTGATACTTTCATGACTTACCCAATCAACAGCTTGTTTTGTGTTTTTGTTCTTCATTAAAATTTATTACTTGTTTTAATACTTTATATATTTACAGTTAATTCAATAATTTGCGAAGAAATAATCATTTCCCTATTAACAAAAATACCACCTGAACTATTCTATTCATTATCTGGCATCCATAGTTTTCAAAATTGCAGTGGAGGTAACATTTTCAGCACAAAAATGTTTATAAAACGTAAGTAATGATTGTAACAAAACTAAATGTATTTATTTCATTATTTACTTTTAAGTTTATCCTATTTATTATTGGAAATTTTAATAAGCATTTTTGTTTTGGTAAATGTTATGCACCATTTTTCTTTCATCTTATGTTTTTTTCTTTTATTTTGTTATTGTGTATTGCTTGTTATGCTATATCTTAATTTTTTCATGGTTACTATTTCAAGTACACCCACAGCTTTCTTACTTCTTCATTATTAGTTTACAAGTTAAACTTTCTGTTATTATACAATAAATCAGCTGAAATTAATAACCAATCTTATTCCAAGATCTGTGGATCGATTCTCATATAACAAATGTCACATTTATAATGCAAATAATCAAACATGACAAAATGTCTGTTGAACAACATATTAGAGAAGCTGACTTCTTGATGTATATATAATAGTACTGTATTGTAGTGATCCCAAGACCAGGCCATGTATCATGGCCATTAAGAAATCTATAAGTAAAGCGGATAATTATTGGATTTATCACATATCCAGTGAATGGGTATACATTGAGGGTTTATTTTTATAGTTTTGTATAGGAATCTAGCAGTTGCAATAAAAATTTATTTTCCCTTCAGTTATAATGATGGTTAATGTATTTTATTTTGCTTAATTTTGACCTCATTATTATTTCTTGTATCCTTCTTTGTAATTGGTCTCTTAATTATTGCTTAGTTTGATGAATTGTTATTATTTTAAACTATTGAAGTATTTGCAGGAATAAATAGAAAACTTCTGAAAGTATAATAATTTTTATAGGAATGCACAAGAGTAGATTCATTACCCGTAATTAATTTTTCAAGTAGTTGCAAGCATCTGGTGTAAATCACTAGGCGCTTATAACTGACGCAATATCTGCATGGTTGGAGCAGTTTCTGCAACTAGCACAACATGTCACAGGTTTGATTTCCACACAAAACAATATTTAGTATGTCCCACAAATTATTATTATTATTGTTCCGGGTCAGTATAATCTTATAAATGAACTTCTAACAGAGGAGAAAATACTAGAGAGAGTAGTATGGGGGCCACATTTCATAGCAATTATAATATGTAGGTGTTTATCATATACTCAGCTCTGCCCTTTGGAAAATAAAGGTGTTCTGTTGTGTTATCAAAAATGCAGAACTTGTTCTTTTTTGTTTTCAGAATGCAGTAGTGTGCAACTGACACACTTAAAAGGCAATTCTAATGAGTGGAATAACTAGTCACTATAACAACAGTCCCAGACACAATTAACTGTGTACCCTGTTTTTCTAGCTGTTTCTTTGATAGGTACAATATCATCCCTTTGACTTATTAATGTATTCTTAGAGATTAAACGCGACAAAATCCGAAGGTGCTTTATAACACTACTTGTAAAATCATTAACGTCATCTATATCACATTGTTGAGATCAATGGTCTGATAAATTGCATCTGGAGATGCGATGATAATTATCTAGACCTGCTGAGGCTATGACAACTATTAGACTCTTTTTCTCCATAGTCTATTCATAATTTTTCTAGCAAAGTTAAATATGGAACTACAGTGTCCTGAACGTAAAGATTTGTAGGAAACGAAGTGGAGTTATAGAACTCTAAAATTCCTTATTACGAATTTGAAATTCTTCTTTCAACAGAGTTAAGTTTCAAACTAAAAAGGCTATATTAGTATATAAATGAATCTGCCAAAACTGATAGGGTACCGCGTGAACTTTTCAGAAAGAAAATATCCTAGTCTCTCGATTTTAATTGCATCTAACACAAACTAAACCAATCCTAGTCCTTGCTGCAGCTATTTTTATGATTAAAAACAATAAATACTCTAGATATACCGTATTCAATCGCTAACAAAACGCAACAAAATAGAGTCCCACCAATGCAAATGGCTGCAGTATCTAATAAATCCCAAAAATCCTTTGATGGCGTATTTAAAAATAAAGGAAATTGGAAGATAGTAGATAATATTGGTAAAATAACCTATTCAAAATAAACAATAAGTAATAACTATGTAAATATACTGGGTAACGAAAAATAAGTGGGCGGTTAATTGTGTCTGAGTGTATAATAACTGTCCACAGCCATACCATGGGCAACTGGTACTCACGTGGTATATTTTTTACATAAAATACTAAAACCTTAGTTTGATGTTGCATGTTTTGTTTACTTAGAATTCTTATTTTTAGCACCAACTATGCATGTAGCACGTGACACTGATTTTACATCAAAAAATAATAAAGAAGTAATAAAACGTGTTTCTTCAATTTTTAATTATAAGTCCTAGAAGTTTTGACGTCGGTAACTGACAATTTACTTTCTTTTAAGCTCTTTGTTGCTTTAGACAACTACATTCCGCATAGAATCGGCAATTAGTTTTTCAAAAGCTTGGTCCCATGATGCATAATCGCTATCGTAGGTAGTTAAACGTACAATAACGCTGCAGCGACCGGGGCGCAGGTAGTCCCCAAAATACGTTACAGTGCCGTTGCCATTGAAAATTCCCGGTCGGCAAAAAAAAACCTGCATGGGTCTTTAGTAAAGCTTAGCAGTTTTATACTAGAATGTTACAATTATTTAACGTCGTAGTGCTGTACTGTATGTATTCTAGACGATTTGGCTGGTGACTTACCTATTGGCTGAATTTTTAGCTACTCCGTGTTGTACGTTTATTAATTTAATTATTTCCGAGTTACGAAAATTTTAGTAATTGATTTAAGTACGAAAAGAATTACATAGTGACTTACGCCCGAAAACTTAAAAGCTACTCAATTTTAAGTAGTACTTAAATATCGTTCTATCTCTGTCATTTTGCATAGAATTTGTACTGACCGAACTATACTGCGCGACTTAAATTGAGTGACGTTTGAGCATTTCGGCGTTAACTTAATTACTTTGAAATTTACAAACATTATTACAACTTTGTAATTGTTCGAATTGTGTGTAGCATCGCTTAAGTTTTTTATTACATATTAAATTTGTATACATTTTAGTAGATACTGGTCATAGCACTATTCAACATGCTTTATTTAAAGTATGTACATGTAGCTGTAGAACTGCACACCAAATAAGCGGCACCAAAAACGGAAAGCTTGTTTATAATATCTTACGCAACGTCTACGAAATGATTCGATAAGGGCGTCAATAGTTAGCCTATTATAACATAATCTATTATATAGATAACTGTTTTTTTTTTCATATTTAAGTGGGTTAGCAAGTACCTTGATTTTAATTAATAATAATCGGTAATTATTAATGCATCTTATTATCTTATTCAAATACCAACCATATTATCATTGGGAAACAGTATTTTATCAAAGGACGTCTGCCAAATTTCCAAAAAAGGAACCTCAAACCGGCACAGTCATCAAATTAGTAACGTCTATAACATTCCAAACGGCAGCAAATACGAGATTCCCTCATGATAAAAACTCTATAACATGCAGAGGTTTCACTATTCGCTTATTTATGTTTTCTCTAAGCTGAATACCGCCTACGATATTTTATATGGAATGCAAAATACTATAGGGTCTGTTTCTGGTAATTCAGTCGGTACTTGCTGGCGTTTGTTTGTTTATTTTTTTTATTCACATCCGCTCCCTTTTCTCTTATCATTGTGGCATGGTGACCATTGGCTGTAGCCAGAGAACAAAGTATTTTAAAACAAATCCCAGCTAACGCATACTGAATGCGCAATGCGGGATGGTTTTTATAAATGAATGAAGAGTCAAACATTATAGAAATTCACCTTCAAATAATGTTAGCTTATTAAAAAAATATTTTTTGCTAGCCTGCATTGGGTCCCTTTGGTATACAATGGGTTAATATAAATACCCTTTTCTGTTTGTAGTTTCTTCTCTATTCTATTTTATCGTTGAGGTTGATAAGAAATTGTGATACAGATTTCATATTTATTTTTATAGTTTTTGATGCAAATCATGGATGTTACCAGTAGTACGTACATTTTCATCAATTAAGTATTTACTTGATGAAAATGGTTAGAAGAAATAGATCTGCTTCATCAG